GGTTGGCCTGGCGCCGGAAGTCACAGGGCAAGTAAACGAAGTCGTAGCGCCCAGCAAAGCCGTTGCCGTCAAGGAGAGCGAGGAACATCTCTCTCGTGTAGTTGTTGGGGATGTTGCGAAGCATTACGGTCGTTCTGTCCGACGCCTGCCTTGCCGGATTGCTCTTCTTCTTCTGCACTTTCGACTTCAACTGGGTGGCTGGCTCTTGTGCGCTTACGGTCATGGGCTTTGCAATGCAGTCACTGGCATGCTCCTCGCTGAACTTTCCAGGTGCGTAGGCCTCCTCGATGTCGAAGGCGATCACCACAGCCGAGTCTGACATGGTCCGACCCCGCAGCTGGGCGAAGCACTGCATGAGGCCTTGGCTCTCATCCACATCGAGGAAGGTGGCCTTAACGTAAACCTTGCACTGCCCGTCCAGACCCCACTCCGTGTCCAGGCGAGGCGACGGGAAACCGGAGGAGCACGTCCCTTTCACGCTCTCGCTGTCGCTGAGCTCCAATTCCACGGTGCTCTCCGAGCCACTACATCGCGCAAGCTTTCGGGGGGTAGACGACATGGTCGAGAGGTGGGACATGGGAGAGCGAAGGCTAGGCTAGACAAAGGCTCACGGCGGTCGCACTGGTTGACGACGCAGACGTCTTGGGCCCGACGAGCTTGTGCAGCATGTACGAACATCATGAGAAAAGACTGCGAACCACCTCCATGGTTTGCCCCATGCTTGTTTTCAATCTCTGAATATGCTTGTACGTAAATTCTTGCTTTTTCTGCTCAGACCTCCTTACTTCCAAACAGACAAACAAACGGACTCACGCACAGACAGACGGACAACCCAAACGCAAAGTCCTAAAAAGATGCATGAGACTGTGGTGCAGCATCTTGCCTTAGACTACGCCGCACCCCATGGGGTCACGTTCACCTTCCTAACATGATGTTATGGATACTATTCCGGGACGACAAGGGGATGCCATGAAGCATCAGTCAACCCCCTAATTATGTTGGCGGCTTTGGACATGGTACTACGTCACTAGTGCTCCAAGCATCTTCTTTAGGAGCTTTGAAGTCAGGTATGCAGGCTAGGACCTAGGGTTCGGGACCAAGGAGAGGGGAAGATAAATAGTGTAGCCAAAGCCTGAACCCTAAAGACTTTGAAGTATCGGCAACAACCATTCGCGGTACAAAGAACTGCACGCTTCTTTCAGCTATGATAGTTGTTATAGCTAATGCTGCTTCCAATAGTATAATAAGCTTGTGACGAGTAGAACCACTGTGATATCATGTGTCTTGAAGACTGTCGCTCAAAGACTGTTGGAGCCTCTGGGTGCGGGACTGGCCCGAGGCTCTAGGACGAAGCAAGGGAGGGTTTAGGATTTAGGGAGAGTGGATTTAGGGTTTAGGATTGAGGGTAAGTGGGTTTAGGGTTTAGGATTAAGGATAAGTGGGTTTAGAAGCTTGTTGATGCGTCGGTGCCGTAGAACCCGAAAGCCCTACAGACATTTAGAAAACTGCCATAGGCGGAGCCGAGACAGTAGCTGTCCAGGTTTGATTGGAACGAGAAGAAACAAGGGGTGGATTTCAAAATAAACTTTTGTCCGAAAATCAAAGGTTCGAGTTACCCTTAAAACAATACACCGTAAACCCAAACACGGAAATCAAAGGTTCGGGTTACCATAGAAAATAGAAACCCTAAACCCAAGCCCGAAATCCCAGCCGCTGCCCTGGGTGCTGCGCATCGGAAGGCGGTGAAGGCTGTGCCGCTGGAAGCGAAGGCGTCTGTTCCAAGGGGCTTTCCAAAGACTCCCAAAACCCTTGGTTAAGGAATATGCCTTAAATTATCACTACGATCATTCAAGGTATATCCCTTGATTAAGGAATATTACCTCAAATTATCCCTGCTACCATGTAAGGGATATTCCTTAAGTAAGGGATATTACCTTAAATTATCCCTACGATCATTTAAGGTCCTCAATTAAGGGCTTAGGGTTTAGGGGTTTATGCGACGGTTTAGGCTTTAGGGCCATCAGGTTTCCACTGCCGGGGTGTACGAGTAGGCGGTTAAAGGGGCCGCTGCTGTCGTGTTGCCGCTGCCTTGCCAGATATCGCAAGGTCTCGATGAGCTGCTAGAAGAATATGAGTAGTTCTCTAAATCAGGGTACGTTTCAGGTTTCCGAAACATAGTACGGCACCCTTAGATAAAAAGGACCGCTAAAAAGGACCCTAATTTAGAGAATTACTCAAACCCTCAACCCTCAAATACAAGCAGCGACTGACTCAAGGCTCTGCAAAGGGGGGCCTTGTGCTCACATCTCTTAAAGCCGTCAAAAGCAAAACTCCCAAAGGGCTTAAAGTTCCCAAACCCTCAAGCAGAAAACCCTAGGCCCCAAATTATGCATACTACACAGAGAACCGAACACTCCTTAAACCCTAATGTTAAGGCACCTACTATTTAAGATATATTCCTTAATTACGGGGTACTGGGTTCTCTGGGCACACCCGCTCAAAAAAAGCGCTGGTGCCTTGGTCGATTGGGGCGTAGGAGGGGTGGGTGTCGCCATTGGGAGCGGGTCCTCTGCAGAGAGGGCCTCGGTGCAGGGAGGGCTTTGGGCTTTGGCGCTTTGGGCTTCGAGGGTTTGGGGTTTAGGGGGTTCCTTCAAACTTTAAGGGTTCTGTAAGGGATCTATAAAGGTTTAGGGTATAGGGATTTTGGGGGTTCAGGGGTTAGGGGAGTTTGGGGGTTCAGGATTCCAGGCAGTTTTGGGGTTGAGGGCTGCAGGTTTGAGGGTTCAGGGTGCTGCCGCTGCGTGAAAGGATTTCTCGGGCTTTAGCAGGGATCCAGAAAGGAGTGTCAAGTCATGTCTAATGGTTGTGGATGAGCTCGTGTGAAACTTTTGCAAGACGTTGTTCAGACGGATTCAAGATCCAGGGCTTCAGGGTTTAAGGGCACAAACCTTTCAAAAAAGCTTGAAGGAACCCGCAAAGGAGAACCTCACAGGAGCCCAGCTGGGGCCATTCCTACTTATCCAAGGAGAGCACACAACAAAGCCTCAAGAACCCCCAAAAAAGCTCTCGAACTCCAAACCCTGAGCCTTGCGAAAAACCCTGAACCCTAAAAAGCCATGGACTCTAAAGCCCTAAACTTCCTTCGAAACGCCAAACCTTAAATTATTAAACCCCATAGTAGCGCTGACAGGTTTAGGCCTTCGGGATTGGGATTTTGCAGCTCCGTTAAACCCTAAACCTCAAGATCTGAACCCTAAACCCTACTTGGAGGTTCATGGGTAGTTATAAGTAGGGTTATAAGTCCCCCAATATGGGTTATAACTACAGTCACCCTACTTATAACTCTACTTATAACTACCCATGAACCTCCCAGTAAGGCCCTAACTAGGATCCAAACCCACTGCGACGAGGTCTCGGATCTTGGGGCTTGGGCTTCGTCGATCTCCAAGCAGTCCCAATCCACCTGCATCACCAGGTCTACAGAGACGGTTTAGAGCATTCAGGGGCATTGGGATCTCTGGGAACCAGTAAGCCGCCACCAAACCCGCAACGAAGATCGTTGCCCACCCAATATCCCGTAATTCAGGAATATACCTTAGAAGGGGCCCCCACCCTGTAAAGGAATGTAATAAGGCCCTAATATAATCCTTATAGTCACTATTACAGGGTGGGGGCAGCTTCGAACATATACCTTAAACCATAATCTTAAGCCCCCTACTATTTAAGTTATATTCCTTGATGAAGGGGTTGGGGACTCCGAAACCCGCTGACTGAGGAAACTACCCGGAATAAGCCTTGAAGTCGACAGGATGCCGTATCCAGAGAGCCCAAGTAATCCCTTAATGAAGGAATACCTTAGGGTTCCTGAAAAGGGCTCCTTTAAGGGATCTATAGGGTTTAGGGTTTAGGGCATTCTGATAGCCCTTAATTGAGAAATCTACCTTGAAAAATAGGGGGCTTACTCTTATGGTTTAAGGTATATTCCTTCTTACGGGGTATTGGGATCTCTGGGTACTGCGACCCGAGGAATACCACATAGATAATAATACTGGGCTTCGTACGATGAGTCGAATTCATGCACGCTCTTCTGTGGTACAGTAGATCAGGCTCAATATGGGAGTTTCCGAAAATAGGGACCCTAATATGGCACCCTAAATTGTAGGATCCGGACCCCCTAATAAGGTACCCTAATTTTCGGAAACTCCATATGAATTGAACGGAGCCTCGGCCGCAGCAACAACGCCCTCAGCAGGTGTTAGAGTTAGAGGTTAGGGTTCTCTGGGTTTCCGTTTAAGCGCCTCAAATCTCCAGGGTTGATAAGCAACCTTAACTATACTGAACTTAGAACCCTTTCAACAATTGTAATTTTAGCTGTTTCTTAGGGATTATCATAACCAAAATTTTTTTCTAATTACCCCTGAGTTAAACCCGCAACCCCAGCTTAGGTTTCCGGGTTAAGGCAGGCTGGCCAGCTCGGCGTGGCGACAAAAAGTTTTTTTTGGACTTGAAGTAGCATGCTTGCAACTCTTTATCGCATCCCTACACCCTAAACCCTGAGCCCCAAACCCTAATCCTCTGCAACGATTGATGATATAAATCCTGCATGACCCATAATAAGGCATATACCATAATTCCCATAGTTTAGGGTCGTTAAGGTAATGCAGGATTTATATCATCAACCGTAAGAGCCCCTTAAAGGAACCCAAATCCTCCAAAAGGACCCCTTCAAGGCACCCTAACCCGCTGCAACGCCGATCCACCTGAAGCCGCTGTCCCCTCTCGGCTTCTGCTGCCGCGGTTTTGCCGAGCTCTTCCTGGCAGGGTTTCGGGTTTAGGGTTTAGGGTTTAGGGTGGGGGTTCACAAAAGGGATTATGAGGGTTCCTGCAAATTTCAAAGGGATCTACAAGGGTACCGTACGGGTTTAGTCAGTTTAGAGTCCGAGCAGACAGACATACAAGAGCCTCGGAACTCTGGGCATCGGGTTAAGGGTTGATAAGGTTCAGTGAAAGACGCCGGTCGACCTGAAGTTGCCTTTCCTTCTCTTCTGCTTCTGCTTCCGCAGCTCTGCAGCGCTGTTCCTGGCACGAAAAACTCTGCTGAAGTTATGGATGTGCTGCAACAGCACCAGTACGCCTGAAGCCGCTGTTCCTTCAGTGCCGCCTGCGCTTCCACCCCCTTGCGGAGCTCTTCCTGACAGGGCTGCACGCAGAAACCAACTGCCTCGAACCCCTCGCATGCAGGAGTTATAAGTGCAAGCCGCCAATCCACCTGAAGCTGCCTTTGCTTCTCTGCTGCTTCTGCTTCCGCAGCCTTGCGGCGCTCTTCCTGGCAGGGTTGCAGAAACCAACGGCCTCGAAACCCGGAACATGTGGGATTTAGTGCAAGCTGCCGGACCACCTGAAGCCGTCTTTCCTGTTCCGCTGCTTCTGCTTCCGCGGCCTTGCGAAGCTCTTCCTAACAGGGCTGCACGCAGAAACCAAGCGCCTCGCACCCCTCGCATGCAGCAGTTATAGGTGCAAGCCGCCAATCCACCTGAAGCTGCCTTTGCTTCTCTGCTGCTTCTTCTTCCGCAGCCTTGCGGCGCTCTTCCTGGCAGGGTTGCAGAAACCAACGGCCTCGATGCAGTGCAAGCTGCCGGTCGACCTGAAGCCGTCTTTCCTGTTCCGCTGCTTCTGCTTCCGCGGCCTTGCGAAGCTCTTCCTGACATGGCTGCACGCAGAAACCAACCGCCTCGAACCCCTCGCATGCAGGAGTTATAGGTGCAAGCCGCCAATCCACCTGAAGCTGCCTTTGCTTCTCTGCTGCTTCTTCTTCCGCAGCCTTGCGGCGCTCTTCCTGGCAGGGTTGCAGAAACCAACGGCCTCGAAACCCAGAACATGTGGGATTTAGTGCAAACTGCCGGTCCACCTGAAGCCGCCTTTCCTGTTCTGCTGCTTCTGCTTCCGCGGCCTTGCGAAGCTCTTCCTGACATGGCTGCACGCAGAAACCAACCGCCTCGAACCCCTCGCATGCAGGAGTTATAGGTGCAAGCCGCCAATCCACCTGAAGCTGCCTTTGCTTCTCTGCTGCTTCTGCTTCCGCAGCCTTGCGTCGCTCTTCCTCGCAGGGTTGCAGAAACCAACGGCCTCGAAACCCGGAACATGTGGGATTTAGTGCAAGCTGCCGGTCCACCTGAAGCCGCCTTTCCTGTTCCGCTGCTTCTGCTTCCGCGGCCTTGCGAAGCTCTTCCTGACAGGGCTGCACGCAAAAACCAACGACCTCGAAACTCTCGCATGTAGGATTTAGCGCAAGCCGCCAATCCACCTGCAGCCGCCTTTGCTTTTCTGCTGCTTCGGCTTCCGCAGCCTTGCGGCGCTCTTCCTGGCAGGGTTGCAGAAACCAACGGCCTCGAAACCCGGAACATGTGGGATTTAGTGCAAGCTGCCGGACCACCTGAAGCCGCCTTTCCTGTTCCGCTGCTTCTGCTTCCGCGGCCTTGCGAAGCTCTTCCTGACAGGGCTGCACGCAGAAACCAACCGCCTCAAACCCCTCGCATGCAGGAGTCATAAGTGCAAGCCGCCAATCCACCTGAAGCTGCCTTTGCTTCTCTGCTGCTTCTGCTTCCGCAGCCTTGCGGCGCTCTTCCTGGCAAAGTTGCAGAAACCAACGGCCTCGATGTAGTGCAAGCTGCCGGTCGACCTGAAGCCGTCTTTCCTGTTCCGCTGCTTCTGCTTCCGCGGCCTTGCGTAGCTCTTCCTGACAGGGCTGCACGCAGAAACCAAGCGCCTCGAACTCCTCGCATGCAGGAGTTATAGGTGCAAGCCGCCAATCCACCTGAAGCTGCCTTTGCTTCTCTGCTGCTTCTGCTTCCGCAGCCTTGCGGCGCTCTTCCTGGCAGGGTTGCAGAAACCAACGGCCTCGATGCAGTGCAAGCTGCCGGTCGACCTGAAGCCGTCTTTCCTGTTCCGCTGCTTCTGCTTCCGCGGCCTTGCGAAGCTCTTCCTGACAGGGCTGCACGCAGAAACCAACCGCCTCGAACCCCTCGCATGCAGGAGTTATAAGCGCAAGCCGCCAATCCACCTGAAGCCGCCTTTGTTTCTCTGCTGCTTCTGCTTCCGCAGCCTTGCGGCGCTCTTCCTGGCAGGGTTGCAGAAACCAGCGGCCTCGAAACCCGGAACATGTGGGATTTAGTGCAAGCTGCCGGTCCACCTGAAGCCGCCTTTCTTGTTCCGCTGCTTCTGCTTCCGCGGCCTTGCGAAGCTCTTCCCAGTAATGTGCACCGACTAAACAAGGGCCGAGAAACTCTGAGCTTTGTAAGAATCCCTGAAGGGGTACTATGGGGTTCTAGAATTTCAGTCCCCTTTAAAGGGCACTACGGGGTTCTATGATGGGGTTCCCCTTAAAGGAACCCGTAGGGTTTAGTGCAGGTAGCGTGGCCACCTGAAGTCGTCTTTTCTTCTCTGCTGTTTCTGCTTCCTCCGCTTCGGAGCATTCTGCCTAGCACAGAGAAGCTCACAGGCATCAAGGGCCGTAGTTCAGGAGAGGTGGCTGAAGGATGACAAATAGATCGGAGCTGATTAGAATAGGGTTTCGAGCCCATTATACCATAATTGTAAGAAGGAAGCCCCCAAAATAGTATAGGTAATGATGAAGGCCCCTACAGTATCATCTCTGCTGAACCACGCAAGCCCAAAGGCACCTGGGTTTGAAGGATTTGCGTTTAGGGTTTAACGGGTTTTAGGGTTTAGGGTTTTAGGGTTTAGGGTATAGGGTTTTTGGTTTAGGGTTTCCGGGTTTAGGGTCTCGGGTTTCGGGTTTAGGGTTTAGGGTAGGGTTGCAAGGGTTCAACAGATTTTGGTGCGGGGCTGTGTGGGCACGGGTCCCCAATGCAGACTTACCCCGAGGGTTCGGCGCTACAGTGGGTTGGATGACGGTTTAGGGTTTAGGGTTTAGGGTTTAGGGTTTATGGTTCCTTCAAGGTTGCATACCGGCTTCCTTAAAGGGTTCTATGATTGTTCATTTGACGGTTCCATCAGGGCTTCTCGAGGCGTTTTACGGCTTAGGGTCTCTGGCTGCAGGCTTCGGGAGGCCCCGGGATGATTGGAATCGGTTTTCGCTTGCATAAAATGCTTTCATCATAAGGAGACTGTCAGGATAATCCCTAACGGGGGGGCCTCCTTTTCGGTAGGCCTAAGGCAACATTTTATACTGTAGGGGTACATGGCCCTGGCGGATACCCCCCATTTCTCGATTTGGGGAGTCAATAAACCATAAGACCCTTCGAATACAGACTGATCCTTAGACTCAAGGCTAGCGTATAGAAACGTTCATTCATGACGTTCTTTTGGAGTCGTTGGATCCCTGGTTCAGGAACCTTGGCCCCAAAATCCTCAAGCCTAAACCCTGGACCCTGCACTCCATGTCTTGTATCCCGGCGTGATTACAAGGAACCGTAGCGCCGAACCTGAATAGTAATAGTCTGCTTGTAAGGATGCACAGAAATCGTAGAGGACAACGAACTCACGGCCTGACATGAAAAGTAGTCCTTGAAATTTGAATGGGTTTCGGGTTTAGGGGAATAGGGTGTCAATGCAGCGTTCTGTCGCAACTGGCGAGAAGCCGTGCTTGAGATTGAGGGCTTGGTCGCAGGACATCCTTAGACCCTAAACCTCTTGACTGTAGTATAGAGGCCTGAATAGTCACAGGAGGTTTTGGGTGGTATGGTATGCTTCAAAAAGTACTGAACACACGGGATAATAGGTTGAGTTTGGGGGGTCTATGATGTAGCATATATAGGGGACTAGCAGGAAAAACAGAAAGTGCGTTGGTGATGGGCGAATGACAGCTAATCTTCATTACATACTGACTACAATGAATAATACTGCCCATTATTCAAGCCTCTATCGTCCTAAACTAAACCCCACCTAAACTCCAATAACCTACCTTTGTTAAGTTCACAACAAAAACCCCAAAAAGATTGAGGTTCCTTCGGGCACAGGTAATTCCTGAACCCGAAACACTCGTCCGGAGGCCTTCTTCCCGGTACCCGCAAGCAGCTCCTCCAATCGGGGGACTGGTTTAGGTTTGTCTCGGGTTTAGGTTTAGTGTTTAATTGCAACCCTGGAAGCTTGATCCCCAACCTACACCCTCGACCCTCAACCATCAGTGCTCAGCCATTTATGCCCTAAAAGCCCTGAACCCTCAAACGCCGAAGACTGCAAGCCCTCAATGATTGCAGCCCAAAGGTGCGCTTGAGGGCGTCGAACTTGGGATTCCGTAGCATGATCCCGACGATGGTATCGCTCACTACCAAAACCACACTTGTCAAAGCCCCTGTCTGCTTGCTATCTCTCTGCCCCTAAACAAACCTCTTAACCTGGTTTAGCAACCTTGGGTCTTTATTTGGGCTCCTTATATGGGTGGCTGTCAAAATTAGGGTCCCTTTGTTATAATACGGCACCTATTATCTAAAGTACCGAAAAAGGGACCGTAATTTTGACAACCACACATATGGAACCTAATAATTTTGGGATACAGGACCCGGGTTTCATAATCAGGTTCCTATATTACATCTCTTACTATGGCCCGTGGAGAAGGTGCGGTGTCACCGGGGTTTACTCCTCAGCACTGGAGGAAAGGGAACACCACCAGTATCTACATGGGAGTTTCCGAAAAAAAGGGGTACCTTATTTGGGGTCCTTATGATAAGGATCCTCCTATTCAGTGTACCTTATTAGGGTCCCCTACATTCGGAAACTCCAACATATCCCCGTTCCCCCGAACCCTGATCCCCGCAAGACCCTCCACTATCCAGAAGAAACGAAAACAAAAACTTCCAATGCCCGACAACACTACGACCCCGGAAATCCCTCTTCCTGCACCTTGCAATACAAAGCCTGAAAAAAACAATCCACCCTGAAAACTAATCTAAACAGACCCCTAAACCCAAAACCCTAAACCCATATCCTTAACCCAAAACCCTAGACCCATATCCTTAACCCTAAACCCTGAACCCTAGACGCTAGACCCTAAACCCCATAACATAAAGTTTAGGCTCTTTGTTTTAAGATATTTGCCTAAACCCTAAACCCATATCCTAAACCCTCGACCCCTAAAGTTTCGGCTTTTGAGTTTAGGATAGCTTCCTAAACCCTAAACCAACCCCCAAACTCCTTCAGCTTCCGCTTGAAACCCTAAACCAACCCCCAAACTCCGAAGGCCTAAACCAATCCCCAAACTCCTGCAGCTTCCGCTTGAAGGCGTCAGCCAGGAGGGCGGCCTTCCCCTGCGCCTCACGCGCCTCAACGGAGCCAGGGACTCGAGGATCCCTCCATTAAGGAATACCTAGATTTCCTTGAAAGGATCTATAAGGGCTCCTTTAAGGGATCTATAGGGTTTAGTGTAAGGAACACCTACGGTTCCTTGAAGGGATCTACAAGGGGTTCCTTTAAGGGATGTATCGGGTTTAGGGGTTCCTTGAAGGGATCTATAGGGGTTCCTTTAAGGGAACTATAGGGTTTAAGGTCAGGAATACCTAGGGTTCCTTGAAGGGATCCATCTATAAGGGCTCCTTTAAGGGATCAAAAGGGGTAAGGAATCCTCAGGGTTCCTTGACGGGATCTATAAGGGTTCTTTTACCGGAACTATAGGGTTTAGGGTTTAGGGGATTCGAAATCCTCGAATTAAGGAATATACCTTAGCTTATAGCGTGGATTCCTCCTTATAGCAGGATTCCTCACGTGATTTAAGGTATATTCCTGAATTATGGGAGGAAGGTAACCAGAAGCTTACTACAAAGAAGACGGGTACTATAATCGTAGTAACCCGTATAAGAAGGCTACTATAAAGCTACTATCATTGTAGTAACCCCTGGTCTGTATACCAGACGGTTACTACGATACGAAAAGTTAAACATTAAGGCTCTTGAGCAAATCGTATGCATAGTATGGCTTAGGGTGCAGAGTTTAGGGTTTGGAGATCCGGTGTTCAGGAGCTATGAAGGTATATTAACACTCCTTCATACTACGTATTGAAAACCCTAGCTTACCCTAAACCTCTAAACCCTAAACCCTAAACCCGAAGCTACGGGTCCCGCCGGAGTCCCGCCTCATCCTCGCTGTGCTGACGGCATGGCCGTGCCTGTCTGAGAACCTGCCGGTCGGTTTGAGGGTTGTCGGGCCTTTGGCTGGGAAAAACCTTGAACCCCGAAGCCCCTAAAACCCTAAACCCCTACAGTAAACCATCCTAAACCATCCAAAACCCCCCTAAACCCGAAGGGTAGTCAAGGCGTCGGGTCTTCTTGAAGTCCTCTATCCCATATACACCCCCCTTTTTAATGAAGCCCAATATAAGGTCGGGATGTACCTATACAATGCTTGTGTCCTTGTGGGGGTCCCTAACTTGTCGTCCTCTACCGACTTTTCTCAGCGCTCATGGATCTCCTTTCCGTGCATCGCTGTGGGCTTTTGGTATAAGTCAGGTTTGCTTGGGTTTAGGGTTTAGGCTTTAAAGGGTTTAGGGTTTTGGGCTTTCGTGTCTGCTTTTAGGGTTTAGGGTTTTGGGCTTTCGTATCTGCTTTTAGGGTTTAGGGTTTGGGGTTGAGGCCTCAGGCTTCAGGGCTCAGGCAGTAGGAATTAGGGTGGGCTGCAGGTTGGGACTTACCGGAGCTACTTGGAGGTTCATGGGACTTAGTAAGTACAGCTATAAGTACCTTAGCTGGGGATATAACCTATTATAAGTAAAGTTTTCTTATTTATAACCCTAGTTAGTAAGTATCATGAACCTCTAAGTATGGCGGGGGAGTGGAAGTTCAGGAACCTTTACACAAAGTACCAGAATTCAAAAAGCAGCCTACTTAGCTGATATCCCTAGTATGGAAAGTTACAATCTAAGCTCTGCTACCTCTGAACCTGCAGGGATTTCCAAGTAACAGCGATAGAAAGCTCCTACAGTACTTTTCCCGGACCCCAAGAAGGACCCAACGATTCAGGCTCTTGTACCCACCCGCCCTAAACTCGAAACCCCCCGTTGAACCCTAAACCCTAAATCCCGTAAGCTCTAAACCCTAAACCAATAGAAGACGGGATCTCTCTAAGGAGAAGGGGATCCTTGAGACATTGAAGTGACAGATCACGTCGGACTGCTCTCATCACTGCAGTATCATAAGGAATCCTAGCGAATAGTAGGTAATAGGGTTTTAGGTGTTGTGAATAGTCGATAGTTTCGGGGCCGAACCAGCTTAATGCGTCTGACAGTCTGAGTCTTAAGAAGGTCGTGATAGGCATCAACCGCGGCTTCACAGGTTTTTGCAGATTGAAGACGCACATAGGGGCCTGAACAGTTCGTGCTGGTGATGCAGGGGCCGGAAAAACTGAAAAAAAAAAACTGATTGGGGGGAACTTACCGTATAATGATAATGAAGACAACCCTAAATAATTGCAGTAGTGGTCCTTCAGGCTTCTATGTCAGTGTAGTCGTAGTAGTGGTAGTAGTAGTCGTCGTCGTCGTCGTAGTAGTAGTAGTAGTCGTCGTAGTCGTCGTAGTAGTAGTAGCAGTAGTAGTAGAAGAAGAAGAAGAAGAAGAGCCCTAAAGCCTAAACCTTAAAGCAGTAGTAGCGTTCCTTCCGGTCCGCCTGAAGTCGCTTCTCTGTCGCCTCGGTCTCTGCTAGGGCTTTGCTGCGTTCCGCCTGGCATGAGCTTAGGGTTAAGGGTTTAGGGGGCTGCAAGGGGCCTAGCGCTTCAGGGGCCCTGGGGTTTGGATGCTTTGAACTTTGGCATGTAGGGTTGGGGACTGCATCTCAGAGCACAACAACTGGGGCATATTATAGTTTAGGTATATCGGGACGACTAACGTGTATGAGTACTAGTCCTGAATCCTACACCCTAATCCAGTCATTGCTTAGAGGGTTAAGGTTCAGCCGACAAGGGCCTCCGGCTTAAGGCCTAAGGATTCAGGATACGAGGTTTGGGGCTTAGGGCCTAGAGTTTCGGGTCTCGCGTCTGAGTATGGAGGCCAGAGGACCCTAGCATCAACCACACGTCGTCATAGGATACTTACTGCAAGGACCCCAAAACAGCGATCATGAAATCTATGTAGCCAGAACTGCACGCTGGCAATATGGCAGAGCTCATCTGCTGGTGAGCTTCACGGGCCAAGAGCTTTTGATGAAAATATACTTTGAGTATCTCATGGTATGACTACTTGGGACTATAAAGTCGGTATTACGAGTATCTGCAATTATTCCGACCACAGCCTTCCCTGCCGCTTTGACCTCTGCTTCTGCATGGAGTTTGGAGGTTTAGGGCTTGGGCCCTCAACCTAAAACCCTAAGGAGCTAGGAGCTTAGAAGTGAAGTTCGGGCTTAATGGCCACATAGAAGCCAGGGTGGGACCATCTTTTCAACTGCTTAAGGGGTTCGTGTATTAGGGTTGTGGGTGGTAAGAGGTTTGAGGTAGCAGGGTTTCTATACCCCCCTTAGAAGCATAATAAAAACATTATGTTTAAGATTCTCTTGGGTTTTATATGAACAAAAATAAAAACCAATTCCTGAGGATACCTTAGGTTTAGGGTATTAGGGTTCCAAGCCCGTCAGCCCCCCCCCCCACACCCTGAACCGACCATAACTTATGGAGCCACGGCTACATGAAAGGCCTTCGATCGGGACTGCAAATTAAGCCACTGATCCGACTTGGCTTCAGGGATTCCGGCTAGATGAACGGCTCAAAGACTCCATTATCCCTTATTTAAGGAATATACCTTACAAATCATATTAGGGACCCCTACTATACTGTCAGGTATAGGGCTAATGGAGTCTCTGGGGGTGTTCGGAGTCTCTGATGACATGCTCAAGAGACTTGGTAACTACGGCTATGATGAAGGCAAATAGACGTCTTGCACTATTCGTTGAACCCCCCCTGAAGTACTCAAAATCAGACTTGTAACCCTACATACCAAAACCTTATCCTAGCCTGTGCAAACCTTTGCGGAGCACCTGCAGCCACTGGCACACAGTTCCGGGTGCGGAGTGCGAGGCCTGCAACAGCTTGCTGCAGGGTCTCCGCAGGGTATCCATAGACGAACTAAACCCCTAAATCCTAAACCCCCTACACCAAACGATCTACAGACTATGAAACAGTTTTCCACTCCATTTGAAGGCAGGTGTGTCGTTAGCACGCAACCGTACTCACTTGTAGCCACCCGAATATCTGAGTGTTTAGGGTTAGGGGGTTTGATATGGCGTAGGTTCAGGATCTACGCGTTAAGGGCCAAGTTAAGGGAGATGGTGTAGCAAAAACCGCAAACCACCACGTCTTCTCCCAGTGTCTCTGCCCTTTTTGGGTGCCCATCTATCGAGGAGTCCGACGATTTCGCGCTGTTCTAAGGATGCGTTGCCAACACTTGCTGCTTCTTGATCCGTATTACTAGGACCCCTTGATTTGCTCAAGCTCCAACGTGCTCTTAACCTCGGCAAACTCTACTCAACGCAACAGTTCAATGTTCAAGTCTGCCTTAAGTGGTTTCTCCTTCTCTGCCGCTTCCGCTTCAGCCGCTGCCTGGCACTCTGCCTGGCAGCGTGGCATCAAGGAAGCTAAGGGTGTAGGAGCTCCGAGGTTTGGATGCGGTGGAATACCAGCAGCATGCCTGCACTCGCTGCTTCTCTGCGGCTGCCTCTGCAACTCTGCGGCTCTCTGCCTGACAGCATTGCACCGATGAAGCTATGGGTGTTCAGAGCTTGGGATGTGATGCAACAAGCCACGACACCTCCACTCGCTCCTTCTCTGCTGCCATGGCAACTTTGCGGAGCTCTGCCTGACAGCGTCGCACCCAAGAAGTGGGTGTGGGGGTTCAGAGGTTGGGATGTGTTGCAAGAAGCCACGACGCCTCCACTCGCTCCTTCTCTGTTGCTTCTGCAACTTTGCAGCGCTCTGCCTGGCAGCGTCGCACCCCGGAACTATGGGTGTGGGGTTATGAGGTTTGGATGTGTTAAAAGACGCCACGACGCCTCCACTCGCTCCCTTTCTGCTGCCTCTGCAACTTTGCGGCGCTCGGCCTGGCAGCGTCGCACCCCGGAACTATGGGTGTGGGGTTATGAGGTTTGGATGTGTTAAAAGACGCCACGACGCCTCCACTCGCTCCCTTTCTGCTGCCTCTGCAACTTTGCGGCGCTCGGCCTGGCAGCGTCGCACCACGGAACTATGGGTGTGGGGTTATGAGGTTTGGATGTGTTAAAAGACGCCACGGCGCCTCCACTCGCTCCCTTTCTGCTGCCTCTGCAACTTTGCGGCGCTCGGCCTGGCAGCGTCGCACCCCGGAACTATGGGTGTGGGGTTATGAGGTTTGGATGTGTTAAAAGACGCCACGACGCCTCCACTCGCTCCCTTTCTGCTGCCTCTGCAACTTTGCGGCGCTCGGCCTGGCAGCGTCACACCCAGGAACTATGCTATGGGTGTGGGGGTATGAGGTTTGGATGTGTTAAAAGACGCCACGACGCCTCCACTCGCTCCCTTTCTGCTGCCTCTGCAACTTTGCGGCGCTCGGCCTGGCAGCGTCGCACCCCGGAACTATGGGTGTGGGGTTATGAGGTTTGGATGTGTTAAAAGACGCCACGACGCCTCCACTCGCTCCCTTTCTGCTGCCTCTGCAACTTTGCGGCGCTCGGCCTGGCAGCGTCGCACCCCGGAACTATGGTGTGGGGTTATGAGGTTTGGATGTGTTAAAAGACGCCACGACGCCTCCACTCGCTCCCTTTCTGCTGCCTCTGCAACTTTGCGGCGCTCGGCCTGGCAGCGTCGCACTCCGCAATTATGGGTGTGGGGTTATGAGGTTTGGATGTGTTAAAAGACGCCACGACGCCTCCACTCGCTCCCTTTCTGCTTCCTCTGCAACTTTGCGGCGCTCGACCTGGCAGCGTCGCACCCCGGAACTATGGGTGTGGGGTTATGAGGTTTGGATGTGTTAAAAGACGCCACGACGCCTCCACTCGCTCCCTTTCTGCTGCCTCTGCAACTTTGCGGCGCTCGGCCTGGCAGCGTCGCACCCCGGAACTATGGGTGTGGGGTTATGAGGTTTGGATGTGTTAAAAGACGCCACGACGCCTCCACTCGCTCCCTTTCTGCTGCCTCTGCAACTTTGCGGCGCTCGGCCTGGCAGCGTCGCACCCCGGAACTATGGGTGTGGGGTTATGAGGTTTGGATGTGTTAAAAGACGCCACGACGCCTCCACTCGCTCCCTTTCTGCTGCCTCTGCAACTTTGCGGCGCTCGGCCTGGCAGCGTCGCACCCCGGAACTATGGGTGTGGGGTTATGAGGTTTGGATGTGTTAAAAGAAACCACGGCGCCTCCACTCGCTCCCTTTCTGCTGCCTCTGCAACTTTGCGGCGCTCGGCCTGGCAGCGTCGCACCCCGGAACTATGGGTGTGGGGCTATGAGGTTTGGATGTGTTAAAAGACGCCACGACGCCTCCACTCGCTCCCTTTCTGCTGCCTCTGCAACTTTGCGGCGCTCGGCCTGGCAGCGTCGCACCCCGGAATATGGGTGTGGGGTTATGAGGTTTGGATGTGTTAAAAGACGCCACGACGCCTCCACTCGCTCCCTTTCTGCTGCCTCTGCAACTTTGCGGCGCTCGGCCTGGCAGCGTCGCACCCAGGAAGCCGTGGGTATGGGGGTTATGAGGTTTCGAAGTGTTGCAATACCGCCAGTATGCCTCCACTCGCTTCTTCTCTGCGGCGGCCTCTGCAGCTCTGCAGCGCTCCGCCTTGTAGCGTTGCGCTGAGGAAGCTATGAATGTGGGGGTTCTGGGGTTTGGATGTGTTGCAATACCGCCAGTATGCCTCAACTCGCTCCTTCTCTGCGGCTGCCTCTGCAGCTCTGTGCCGCTCTGCCTGGCAGCGTTGCACTCGTGCCTATGTTTGGCCAAACTTTTCAAGCCCGAAGGCCAACCTTATCATCTAAGCCAGGGAAGATGAGTCCCCAAGAACCGTAAGCCCAAGAACTGTTCACAGGATTTCTTACGGGCTTTACACGAAGTTATTCTATAAGAGTTCTCTTTATGGGGGAAGCCTCGTTATGCAGGCCTCTGTACTACTCAGTTCAAACTTCGGTTCGTGGTGAGGTCTTCCCATTCTGCATATAGTTCCGTAATGGTGTGCAGGTTCACACACATAAAGACTGCTACAGAGGGACCTGTAGTCGTAGGAAAGCGTCTAACACGGGATCCTTGATGGTAGAGTAGGGCTTTGGGGGATACGAAGCTCTCACTGCGATAAGGAACAAGAATGAAAATTCGTCAGGTCCCTGTATTCATTCCATCTAAGGTGGTCGGGGGCATGGTATCGAAGGCACCTGCTGTCCCGTCGGCTCCTCCGCTGGCGAGGCGGCCTTCGTGCAACGTCGAGGGCTTCAGGGGCTTAGGGATTGGTCTTACGGTTGATGATAGAAAACCTGCATTAGCCATAATAAGGAGTAAGTATACCATAATTCCCATAGTTTTGGGTCCTTAAGGTAATGCAGATTTATATCATCAACCGTATGTTAGCAGGTTTTGCATTCATTAATCCTCAACCCGAAGCCGAGAACCCTGAACCCTGAAGGTTGTTCTGTGTTGCGGTTTCGGGCTCAGAGCTTACCGCGCGGGAGTTGGGGTTATCTGCATTCACAACTCCAACTCATGTTATGAAGGCACTGGTTTAGGAACAATGCAGAGGTAACCTAAAACCCTAAACCCTAAACCCTAACCAAGTGACGACAAAAGACACTTTGGCGCCGGGAACCTGGCTTACCACAGCTTGCCAGCAGGATAGGACTTGAGGATGGGTGGGTCGTTCTACTATGCTGGCCAGTACGAGCACCCTCGTCATCACCAGCACTGTCGCCATAGCCATCACCCGCAGCAATATCATCATAGCCTAGCATCACAACAATTATGTTCGTCATCAGCATAATTACCCTGACCATCGTCATTGTCTTCGCCACCAGCGCATCCACATTACCATCGTAGTTGCAGTCGCAGTTGTTGCAGTTGCTTTAGTTGTTGCAATTGTTGTTGTCGGTGGTGGTGGTGGTGGTGTTGTTGCAGCTGTTGCTGTTGTTGTTTGGTGTTGCTGTCGGTGTCGGTGTCAGCGTCGGCTTGGTGTTGCTGTTGCTGTTGCTGTCACTATGGCTATCACCGTTGCTGTTGCTATCACTTCCCTGTCATATCGTGGAGTACTAGCACGGTTATCTTTCCGAGGCGAAGAGCCGGCTCATCGCAATTTCCCTTACCGCTACTGCTACTGCTACGGCCGCTACAATTACTACCAAAATGACATCGGATACTACTCTCATCACATCCCAACCCTACACCCTAAGCACTCTCCTCACTGTTGTCGATTGCTCCCATCTTCCTACCTTCGCGACCCATACTACGAGTCCTAAAATGCATGCGCTGAGCCTTTGGGTGGCTAAAGCAGCTTGTAGGTTTACGGCTCAGCATTGCAACTTTCCTCGCGATGAACATTTCACCAACGCTGCCCGTTGGATGATTACATGTTTATTCGACTAGGTATTGCGACACTTAGGCATCATGCTATTATTGCCGTGGTTTTATGACTACAGGTACTGCGACTACGAACGACACCATTCATGTCCGCACTATTGCTACAACTGCTGTGATCAATATTGTTGCCAGTATTGCTTACGTCCACTACCACGATTACTGCCGCGGTGCATAACATCATGACAAATCCTACAGGATAAGGCGCTTCGCTGTTGCCGCGCCGATAGACCCTAAATCCCTTAAGGGAACCCGTAAGAGCACCCTTAAAGGAGCCCAGAAAGCAACCCTACTTTAAGGGTTTACTTGGAGGGTCGGGGGACTTATAAGTACCTTAACCCCAAGTAGGGTCCTTTTTAGGGTACTTATAAGTCTGCTTACTAACTACTTACTAAGTCCCCCGACTCCCCCAAGTAGGGTTCGTGGAGCCTCTGACCGGCGCTGCGTACTTCGCGGTGACACGGGGCTCGGCTGCCCCGGAGGAATCTCCTGGAGCACAGACATTGGCTTGAAGGGTTCTTTTTGGGGGGGTTCCTTAAAGGGCTCCTTAAAGGGATCTATAGGGTTCCTTAGTGGGATCTATAGGGTTTAGGGTTTAGGGGATTACTTAAAGGGCCATGGGACTAAGTAACCAGGGTTATAATTAAGGAAACTATACTTATGATTACTTATAACCCCCATTACGGTACTAATGACCTTGCTTACTAAGTCCCATGATTCTCCAAGTAAGGTTTAAGGTTCAGGCTTTAGGGAAGGGCTTTGAGGGTTTGAGGGCTTTGAGGGTGTACTTGGAGGCTCATAGGACGTAGTACGTACAGTTATAAGTACCTTAACTGGGGATATAACCAATTATAAGTAAAGTTACCTTATTTAAAACCTTAGTTACTAAGTCCCATGAACCTCTAAGCAGGGCTTTCAGGATTTGAGGACCTCCTCGGAGGCGATCTCACGGGCAGGCGCCATGTCGTCGTCCTTTCAGGGCTCCAGGTGCGATCGGGCACCAAGGAAGAACGTCTAATATAGGGACCTTAATAATTAGAATAGGGTCTTGGGGCCCACTATACTACGTAATTACAATCAGAAAGCCCCAAAATAGTATAGGTAATTATTAAGGCCCCTGAAGTACTGGCGCGGCGCAGTCAAGCCACTGGCGGAGACGGTCACAAACGCTCTGACAGTGCGGGGAAAGGCCATGCGCGTAGTTCGCGACATGATTTGAATCGTGATGGTCATGGAGTTAGCTGTGTGCGTCGTAGCCATATCAACAGTAGTCGTCGTGGCAGTGGTAGTCGTGGGGGGTAGTGTCAGTGGTGTCAGTGGTGTCAGTGGTGTCAGTAGTGGTAGGGGTAGTGGTAGTGATAATGGTAGTGGTCGTGGTAGTTGTAGTAGCAGTGGTTGTAGTGGCAGTGATAGTAGTGGTAGTGGTAGTAGTGGTAGTGGCAGTGATAGTAGTGGCAGTTGTGGTCGCGATAGTAGCAGTGGTAGCGGGTGGTAGTGGTGGTAGTAGCAGTACTAGCGGTAGTAGTGGTAGTAGTGGTAGTAGTGGTAGTAGTGGTAGTAGTGGTAGTAGTGGTAGTAGTCGTTGTCGTCGTCGTTCTAGTGGCAGTTGCATAGAGCAGCACCAGCAGCAGCAGCAGGTAGTGGGACTCACATTTGCAGCTGATTGTCACTCTGAAAACGAAAAAAGAAGAATCAAGCTCCGGCCGCGGCAATCGGCGCACCATGAGCTGTAGAAATGGGGGAATGCTTGCATCAATTCCAATAGCAATCACAGAACCACAACCAACTCACCATCCCCAGCAATGGCCTCATCTGAGGGTGCGGGAATGCTCCACGCATACTTTTGTGAAGATGCCACATCCTGCCCACAAGATAAAACAGCATGCTAACACGATAGGAACTCAATTAGACTAAGTGCATACAAAACCCAAATTGCTGTGCCAAACCCTACACATTCGCCTAATCCTACACCCGTAGACCCCTAAACCAAACCGCAGATGCCTCAACCCTAGATGCCAGAGTCCCTGTAAAGCTAAATCACCTTATAAGAAATATGTAAGCCCGAAAACAGGAAACTCAATACCTTAACGCGTGTAAGTTTAGTGAAGAAACTCCTGCTCAAGAGCTGAATGTTTGACGGTTAAGGGTTAGGGCGTAGGGTTTAGGGTTTGAGGGTTGAGGGGTTTAGGGGTTCAGGGGTTTAGGGGTGTAGGGTTTAGGGTTTAGGAGTTTAGGGGTGCATACCGAGGGTTTGCCGGTTTAGGGCTTCGTTCGTTAGGGTGCTGGTTGCTCTTACTCGTCTCTGTATACCCATGGTTCTGGGCGTCTGCATGTGCCGGTACATGCCATGAAAAAGCAAATCTTTTGTTCCACACATTCGTGTCCAAAATATGGTGCAAATGTATGTGTGTACATTTGTGAAGGTATACGGAGGAATGTGTATGCGAACATGTGCAAGGAGACTCATAACAACCGTGTTGGAGTTTGGTTTTAGGGCTTTAAGCTGTAAGTTCAAGGTTTTCGGGAAGACTCAGCGCACTGGCCGTGTTTAGCCGGCATACTGCACACAGGTCCAACGCGCAAGAAAAGCTCCGAGCCAGTTTTGAGCTTGCAGCACTGCAATTTTGCAGCTTCTGACCGTGCACCGGTCCCAATTGCTCCGGTCCCTCGAGTCTAGCTCGCCTCCTGCCGCGCGCCCGCTCCCCGCAGACCGTTGTCGTTGTGGAGGATGGTGCCCAAGCACCCAAAGTGCATCTCAAGGGCACCAACGCTTGATTGAACAAACACAAGCAGGCAGTCCTCCAAACACACACACACACACACACACACACACATACACGCATACATACGACATGCAGAAACATGTGCACCTTTTTTCTTCGTTGTGTGCGAGAAATCTCACAGGTATGTATGCGCATATACACCTCGACATACATTTACACGCCTTTGTACAGGAAAAGTATGTGTAAATCTACATATATGTCTGTATGCATACGAAGTTCAGACATACAAACGTGCATAAATGCATGTATACACAGCTGTACGGAATGACCGAGTAGAACCGATGGAAAGGCAGAGGACCGATTGAGACGGATCATGCCAGAACTGGTACTAGCAACAACCCTACACCCCTTAGAGCCGTAAAGAAGATACTATGTTTAATACTCTCTTGGGCGTTATATGTGCAAAAATACAGAATAACTCCCAAGCAGACTACAGCAACCGAAGCGAACACTGCGAAGTCCTCCAGATCTCCTGCTCCCAGCGAGGGTGGCGTGGGCGAAGCCACCCACAATGGCTCTTGCCGATCCTCCGAACAGGAGTTTCCGAAAATTAGGGGTACCTTAGGTACCTTATTCTATGAGGATCAGGGTCCCCTATTTTCGGAAACTCCCGTACCAATCTTAGGGTTTGTAGGGTGTAGGGTGAGGGTCATGAAACCCAAAACAAAGCAGCAAGCAGCGGAAGCAGCAGAGACGGCAGCGGCGGTGAAAGTAGCAGCATAAGCAGCAGCAGCAGCAGCAGCAGCCGCGGCAGCAGCAGCAGCAGGAGCAGTAGCAGTAGCAGCAGTAGCAGTAGCGATAGCAGTAGCAGTAGCAGTAACAGTAGCAGCAGCAGCGGTAGCAGCAGCAGCAGTAGCAGGAGCAGGAGCAGGAGCAGGAGCAGGAGCAGGAGCAGGAGCAGGAGCAGGAGCAGGAGCAGCAGCAGCAGCAGGAGCAGTTGCCGTAGCAGTAGCGTAGCAGTAACAGTAGCAGTACCAGTAGGAGTAGCAGTAACAGTAGCCGTAGCAATTGAAAAGGCTGTGTCAACGGCACGCCTGGACTAGTTCTTGCTGCGATAGCAGAAGCAAATCTGCTGAAGGCGGCGGAAGCACCTGGCTGTCTGAGTTTCAGTAGTGGCAACAGCAATGATAACAACAGTTTGACAATGGCTGGTGACCAACGAACCGCTAATCCTTAAACCTAGGCACAAACAGTAAATGATAGCAGCGACAATTGTCTTGCAACTGCGCAAGTTGGGGTTACGGGGGCAGGCGTTCAAAGCTTAGGAGCTTCCAGACCGTGCATCGTGCGGCTCTTAGGCGTTGACGGTTTAGGCTTTGCAGGTTAGAAGCTCTTGGGTGTAAGGCTATTCATCTGAAAATCTTACACCTCGACTGCTGCTCCATGCAGAATGCATCTGGGCTGTCCGCTGACAAATTTGCCCTAAACCCTAAACTCTAAACCCTAAACCCTAAACCCAAAACCCTAAACCCTAAACCCTAAACCCAAAACCCAAAACCCTAAACCCTAAACCCTAAACCCAAAACCCAAAACCCTAAACCCTAAACCCAAAACCCAAAACCCTAAACCCTAAACCCTAAACCCAAAACCCTAAACCCTAAACCCTAAACTCTAAACCCCTTTGCAGCCCCGAAGCCCCAAACTCTAGGAGCCTTCATAATCAGAGTAGGGTTCTCGAGCCCATCATACTCCACACATAAAGAGGAGCCCCCAAATAGCATAGGTAATTATTCTAGGCCCCTAAAAGGGTGGTTGTCAAAATTATGGCCCCTTTTTGGGTACCCTAAATATTAGGTGCCGTACTACATTCGGGACCCAAACACGGACCATAACCTTGACAACCACCCATATAGCTCTGAAGCCCCCAACCCAGACATCGGAAGCCTCGTCCAGCAGGCTCCGTGCAGGTGGCAACTGCCAGCGACGCACGGAAGGGACTGCAAGGGATCTATAAAAAACCCATAAGGGTTCTTTAAGGGTTAGGGGTTTTCGGTTTAGGATTTAGGCTTGTGGGCATTAGGATTCACTTCATGGGTTTGGGGCTTAGGGTGTAGGATTTAGGGGTCTGGGTTTGGGGTGTTGCTAAAAGCTTTACGGGCACAGCTGCTCAGGGTTAAGGGTTTAAGGGTTTAGGTCTACAGCCGTGATGGTTGTTGCTGTGAATGCTCTTGCAATGGACTTTTCGTCCAAGAGAGGGCTGTCATCGGAAGGCCTAGAGGTTTAGTCAGTCTTGTCTTCGATGGGTTTAGGGTTCAGGGGTTTAGGGACCCTAAACCCTAAACTAAACCCTAAACCCCAAATCAGGGTTCATGACTTTGGGTGCAATGTTGGGCTCTAGAGATGGGATCCAATCGTGTGAGTGTAAGTGCTCCGGCTTCTTTTACTGGACAAGTACTACTTGGCCAGTACAGCTATTTCAAAACGGTATGGCAGTAATAATATGGAATAGTATGGTAGAGGACTGCCTTTTGGGCTGCGCCCGCGTGTTCAAGCCTCGCTGCTAGCGTAGCTTTGGTGGGCTTTTCAACAACACGGGCACTGTCACCTTTAACCCTCGAAAACCCAAACCCTAAACCCCCAAACCCCAAACTCTAAAGACCCCGAAGCCCTACCTAACAGCCTGCGAAGACCATCTTTGCCCAGAAATCCCAATACCCCTTGATTCAGGAATAGACCTTAAATCATAATCGGATCCCCAATATGGGTTAAGGTATATTTCTTAAATAGGGGTATTGGGATCTCTAGGTGGACAGCCTCATGCGGTGGCAGCGAAGGTAGGTCTGAAGCCATCGGGGGTACCTTAGACACACAGGCATTTAGAGTTTAGGGTTTTGGTGTTTAATGTTTGAGGTTTAGGGTTTAGGGGTGCAGGTTCAGTAAGGTGTTCTGAGGGTTCTATACGAGTTCCAGCGTAGGAACCTGATTTAGAAAGCCTGGGTGTTTATTCGGGTTCTTTGTATAACAGAATCCTAACATATTGGGGTTATATGGCCAGGGTTTCTTATTCAGGTTCCTACATTATGAGGACATAAACACTGCTGATGAGCTTCCTCCACTGGAGCGTCCGGCCACGGCTCAACTGCAGCTGCCGGTCGCAACTGTCGGCTTCGGGGTCATATAGGGGCCTTAATAATTAGAACAGGGTTTTGGGGCATCAAACTATAGGCATCATTATAACAAGGAGCCCCAAAATAGTTTTGGTAATTCTTTAGGCCCCAATATTAAGGCTGAGGCTTTACGTGCCAGGGTTGAGGGTGAAAGCGACTCCACCGCTCTGTGCCCTCAAGGCCTTAAGCATGCAAAGAGGGTTTGCCAAAGCCCCGAGCGTTGAACCGAACCTCAAAACCCTCCACCCCTAAACCCTAAACCCGAAATCCGACACTTTTTGCGGCTTCAGGCTAGGCTTTCTGCCATTTTATCGTTACCAGAGCTGGCGCAGCAGATGGTGCCATGGCTTGTGTGAGCCTTCTGGCACTACTTGCATTCTCATCACCATTACTGAGTCATTACTGCGGCTACTCTGCTACTCCCACTGCTATTGCTACTGTTCCTACCTGTACGAGCACTACGACTACGGCCGCGACGACAACGACGGCAACTACGACGTTGAACACAACAACGACGATGAGGGCGACGATCATCATTTCCTACGATCGTTTTTGGATATGCTCGTGTTCTGCACCTTCCCTAAGAGGAGCGACAAGTTCTTGCCCGTACGTTTCTCACGTTGCAAACTTAAGAGCCTCGAAACTCTGAGGATCGTTGGCTTTAGAATGCTGTGAAGGGCTGGAGCAGAACTCATAAGGCACCTGTGTGGGCAGCGCTCAGGACTTAGGGCCTAGGGCTTGGGTTCAGGGCTAAGGATTTTTGTTTAGGGCTTCAGGGTCTGAGGTTGTAGTTTGGGTTTAGGGGGGCTTTGCTTCCCCGCTTGAAAGTCATACCTAACCCGTACTAATCCTGATAATCCCCACGCCCGCCTCCCTAAACCCCAATGCCTGTAATTCCTACACCCTCGTCCCTAAACCCGAATCCCTGATCCCTAAACCCTAAACCCCAAGGCCCTAGTCCCTAAACCCTAAACCCCTGATCCCTAAACCTGAACCCTAAACCCTCTTCAGGAACCCTTAGTAGGAACCTTTGATGAATCCTGAACCCTAAACCCTGAACCCTAAACCTGAACCCTAATCCCTAAAAACCTTCAAAGCCCGTAGGTTCCTGCGCTGGCCGCGGCGGCTTCATCGGCGTCAGAGACGTTGGGATGCTCGGGCGCCCAGGGGCCTTGAAACTTTGGAGCTTTGAAGGCTCGGGGCTTTTAAGTGCTTTGTTTTGGGGCTTTAAGTGCTTCGTTTTGGGGCTTTAAGTGTTTTGCTTTGGGGCTTTACGGGCTTTTTGGGCTTTTCGGGGTTGGCCCTGAGGCCAAGGCGAGAGAGCTCTTATAAAGATGAAAACCATGTTAGTCAAGAGCCCATAGAAGCCCCAAAAAAACCCTGCGGCCTTCTTCGCGAAGGGGGAGCGGACAGTCGGAATCGGCTGCAGCCTCGTGTGGCTCGCAGTTCGGTTTGAAGGTTTTGTGCGGTTCCGTGCTACCCAGAGACTCCAATATCCCTTAATTAAGGAATATACCTTAAGTTACAGTAGGATCCTTATTTAAGATTTAAGGTATATTCCCTGATTCAGGGATATTGGAGTCTCTGGATACAGGTTGGGGGTCTCCGGGGGTTGGGGCGTAGGGTTTAGGGTGCGGGGTTTTGAGTTTTGAGTTCGGGGCTGAAAGCAGAGGATCAGGAGGGTGTAGGGGATTCAAGGTAGTGTGTCTACGGGCAAACAAAACCGTGCAAGTAATATAGGGGTCTTAGTATGAGGAGTTCGGTTCGGGGTATCTCATAATACAGTGATACAAAAGGAACCTTGCAGAATGACTCGACATGAAGTGTTCAAGCCCCTGTTCCATTCAGTATTTGGCTTAGCAGGTTGTGGCTGAGCCTCAATGCTTTCGACGCGAGAAATAAAATCCTAATTTTACGGATCAGGGTTTTTGGGTTTAGAGTATGCAGGGCACCGAGCTGAAACACATATAAATCAGAGTCCATCTCTCAAGCCTGAACTGAACCCAACTGATCCGCAAAGCTATGGCATCATTATCTGCCTTGCGCCCTGAATCCTTAACTGTAAGCCCAGGTAAGCCCTCAACCGTGAACCCGAACTCCTGGACCCTGAGCGCTGAACCTAAACCCAAAAAGTCAAGCCATGAGGCACAGGGAAGTTCAAGGAAAGCGAGGGCGATTGTTGGCTCGCCAAGCTTGGAGTCCAAAGATAAACTTTTTCCTCGCCAGGGGAAGGAATCCCAACCTAAACCTTCAACCCTGCACATTAAACCCTATCAACACCTGATCCGCGGACCCTAAGCCTAAATCTGACCCCGCATAAAAATCCAAAGCCCCTAGCACGGTGAAGGATTCAAACCGCAAAAGCTTTAAACCCTCGAAAGCCCTCAACCCGAAAAGCCCTTAAAAATGCCCTAAAAACCCTGGAAGCCTTAAAAGCTTAAAACGCCCAAAAGCCCCACTAGAGGCCCCTAAAGAGATGTAGGGCTCTGAAGCTCAGGGGCCCCAGGATTCCAAGGATTTGACTGCAATCGCGAAGGGTGCTTATATGGGAGTTTCTGAAAATTAGGGGTACCCTATTGGGGTCCTTATAATAAGGATCTTACTATTATTATAGGGTAATATATTAAGGTCCCCCATTTTCGGAAACTCCCATATACTACCAGGATTGAATCAAGGTTTAGGGAACATACTGCCATGACGGAATTTGGTTCTAAAAGACACTTTTGCGGACCCCCTTGACACGTGATGACCTTCGCTCAGTAGAGTAAGGCTTCGGGGTCGGGTTTTAGGGTTTTGGGCTTCAGGGCTTTGCGGCTTCGGGTTGTAATTCAAGAAGCAGCGGGACTATGTGGGGCCACTGTGACTTCGTCAGATACTCACCGTAGGACTGCAGGATTGGCGGCATGGGGTATTGGGTTTCTGAATTGCGCCTGGACATGATCACTGAACTTAAGTTCGGTGGTTTCGGAAAGCCTTTACCTCGAGTGCCTGTGTGGCAGCTCTTGCTTCCTGCCGGTGCTGGAGAAGCCGGGCTTCAAGCCTTTCAAGGGCGCCGTACAGTGCACTGGTGTCCGCCTCCAGTCCCTTACGGATCATCTCCATCTGGTTCCGGATATCTCGCAGACACATCGGTATGCCCTCGGCCAGAGGTAACATACCGCGCCTGATGAGCGCCTGGACCTTGACCACGCCTGTCAGAACCTTTTCCATTTCTTCCACTTCCAGGCCCAGCAAGCGAATATACTGCATCATTTCGCCCTTAGTCTGTGCCAGTTTTTCAGTCAAGACCGGGAGCAGAAAGGAGGCGGGTTCGCATAATACAGCCCCTCTGTGGTCCCGCAGAATAAGCGCAAGGCGCCCCATGATTAGTGTGATGGTAGAGGCTCCGTGAGCCTTCAAATCAGTGCTTCAAGATCTGCGCAGTGCCCAGAGACTCCGATATCCCTAAGGAAAGCCTGTTAAGGCTTTGGGGTTTAAATAGGGTCTAGCACCCAAAGACTCCCAAGTCTCCCATGCAAAGAAAATGAACCTTCTTATGACCCAGGTCTAGGTTCCCTGCAACCCTCATACATCCGGAAAAGGAAGCCGTATCCCAGGCCCAAAGCCCCAATCCCTACTATCCCCAAACCCTAATCCAACTATGAAGGGTTTAGGGGTAGGGTTAAGCGTTTAGGGTTTGCGGTTTAGGGTTTAGGGTTCAGGTTTGGGGTAGGATGCAGGATTTGAGGCTTTCGAACTTAGTATTTAGGGTTTAGGGTTAGACCCCTGCGTTATACTCCCTTCACACCCGGAATCGCAACACACCGAGCCTGACTGGGCACTTCCTCCGGGTGCCATTCATCCTCCTGGACGTTCTGGAGCACCTCAGGGCCGCTTTAAGTCTAGGGTTCAAGGGTTTAGGGGTTTAGGGTTTTAGGGCTTCGGGTTTAAGTGTCCCAAGACATCACGTTCAAACGCTGTCAAACCCGAAGCTCTAAACCCTAAACCATACACCCCAAACCAACGGGTGTTTATGGCTTCACCTTTCTTGGAGGGCTTCGGAATGCTCGGGGCCAAGGGTGCTCTGGATTGATAGGCCCGTTTTCGTGCACTGGGACCCTAAACGACTGCCTAACCTTTGATTGACAACAGCCCGTGACAAGCATGGAGTGGAAAAACAAACAAAGATGCTAATTGTGAGATGCCAACAGTATGCCCAGGCTTCACAGTCGAAGCGAGCCAGACAAGGCAGATGGGGTGTCTAAAACTCATTGGGTGATGGGTTCAGGGAACCCTTGTACATCGAATACATATATATATATATATATATATATATATATCCCTACAGTCCCTAAACCCTAATTAAACTCTGAACACCAAAACCCTATTGCCTTAAAGGGCCCACGGCCTGAGATCTTGAGGTTGCGATCTTCAACTTGACAGCCCCTAACATCCACAGGGCCTGCGACGGCGCAGCAAGGGCTGATGCGCGCGGCTCATCCTCGGACAAGCTCCTCAGCTGGGTGTTTCCTTAGGGTTTAGGGTTTATCGCACCCGAAATACTAGGATCCTCTTTATAAGGCCCCGGAATAAGGTACCCCTCATCTTCGGACGAGCTCCTAAGCTTGCAAAGCAAGGGCCATATGCTCGTTTGCACACATGCAATGTCAAAACCCCCGCCACTTCCCAAACGCTGAACCCCAAACTGTCAAACCCGAAACGCTGAAATTTGCACTGAAGCGCACGGTTTAGAACCCTATAGCACCCAGGGGCCTAGAATTCGCCTAGTTCTTGTTGCGGGATGCATATGTTTATGTTCATAGTGAGGACAACACCTGATTTGCCATATTCTTTCGAGTCTGGTAACTGCCTTCCAAGAGTGCGGTAGATATTAATGTTTCACACTAAACGATAAAGCCCTAGACCCTTACCTTAAATGCCCAGACCCTAAAACCCCGAACCCCATACCAGGCAAAACTCATTGAAAATCCAAAATCCACTGCCCCTGCACTGCTAGGGCCGCCCTGAAATCTTAACCTAAAACTCGTTAACTTCAAACGCCTCAACCCCAAACCCTCACGCCTGAGGCCCTAAACCCTGAACCCGAAACCCTCCCAGCCCCTAACCCATATCTATGCAGCCCTAAACCTAACGCCCTAAAACCCTCCACCCCAAAACCCTAAGCTCGACCAAAACCCTGAGCCCGGCCCCCTAAAAACCCCAAATCCCTGCAAGTTTAAACGGAACCCTGCGAGGGACCGGTACGGTTGATGATATAAATCCTGCATTCCCCATCATAAAGGAATATACCATAATTCCCATAGTTTAGGGTCCTTAAGGTAATGCAGGATTTATATCATCAACCGTAGAACCTTGAGTTTCTTAGAAGGAGCCCTTAGAAGGAGCCAGTACAAGGAGCCCTTGGAAGGAGCCCTTAAAGGAACGCTTAGAGGAAACCGGACCTAAAAGCAACCCCACAAAGGAACCCGAAAAGGAGCCCTGAAACAAGCCCTTGACAGGAGCCCTTAAAGGAAAGAAGCCCTTGAAAAAGAACCCGGAAAAAGGGAGCCTTTAAAGAGTGACCCTTAAAGGCCCGAGAAGCACGGGCTGGAGCGCCTGCGCCGATCACCATGCTAAAAATTTGTGGACAGTCTTGTAATTGCTATTCCGCGTGTTCCCATCACCAGTATTCCAGCAATACCACCAGCAACAACGATACTAGCAATGTCATCAGAAGGATTGTCATCACACTGTCATGATAACCGGGAAAGCAGCAATACTAAAGGTACTCAAAACCCAAATTAGTGGTACCGGAGCGAACAACATGTCTTAAACAAACACGCAGTAGCCGACAGCGCTCTTTGGCCTCCCCGTGGGTCTCGGGCGTGAGCATCACCGACTCGGCCCTGGCAGGAATAGGGGTGCTTTAAAGGGGTCTAAAAGGGCTACTATAATGGATACTATAAGGGTACTATACTGTAGGGGCCTTAATAATTAGAATAGGGTCTGGGGGCCATTGTACCCCAAAATAGTATAGGTAATTATTAAGGCCCCCCTATATTGGGGGTTTAGGGTGAAGGGCTTTAATGACTTTAAGGGCGTAGGGGCTTCGAGGGCTGACGGGTTATGAAGGGTTTTCAGGGGCTGAAGGGCTTCAACGGCTGGTGTGCTTTGCTGAAGGTGTAGGATTCCGGGGTTGCGTTCGGGCTTCGGGGTTCTGTTACGGCGTTACAAGGCTTTGGGGGCTCTGATTTGGGGTTTCCGAGGTATTAAGACTTAGGAAGCTTATGGGTGGTTGTCAAAATTATGGTCCCTTTTTGGGTCCCTAATATAGTTTGGCACCTATTATTTAGGGTACCCAAAAAGGAACCATAATTTTGACAACCACCCGTATGTACGGGGTAAGATTTTGGATCCTTGGACCTTGGGGCTTTGGATGTGAAGGTGTTCAGAGGCTCTTAAAACTCAGGAGTATACCCTGAAATTATCATGGTATCTCTGATGTGGCTTGCACCACACTCCCTGACTAATCAGAATCAACGGATGTACCCCTACAGGGCGATCCTCGATAAAGATCTGATGCATCTTTCTTAAGTTTTATGGGGGTGGAAGCGACTGCGCATTGAAGTCTCTAGCGGCCATGTGTCTGTTGAGCTCGGAAACCTGGTTTTTGAAGTCTGGGACGACTGGGTACCCTGTCGGAGTACTTAGAAACGATATTGCCTGAGACCCTAGAAAATCGACAAAACGGTCCTGTAGGATCCCTATATCATCCGACAGGCTGACCCTAAACCCTACACCCGAAACCCGAAATCCGAAAACCTAATTCCCAAACCCTAAACCCGAAACCCTTAACTCCTAAAGCACTAAACCCGAAGCTCCTCCCTAAAAGTCCTGCGACCCTAAAGCCTAAGCGAAATCCTAAACCCTAAACTCCTCAAGCCCTAAACCCTAATCACCGAAACCTTAAACCCTACACTCCTAAAACCCTGAGCCCTTAAACCCGAAGCCCTGAACCCGAAACCAACTCCGTGCGGCTGGCCTGGATCTCCCGCGAGCTGTTCTGGGCGTCTCCTCGGCTTGGGATTTACCGCTTAGGGGTTTCAGGGTTTGGAGGGTTTTTTTTTAAGTGCACTGGCTCTTTATCCACGGGCTTGGAGGGTAAGCCCTAAACCCTAAACCCTAAACGGTTAGGTCTTAGGGTTTTCGGCTTTGGGTTAGGGGTTTTCAGAACCCTCCAGAAAGGTGTTAAAGGCCCAGGGCCCAGGGCCCGGTTTAGGGTTTAGGGTTTAGGGTTTAGGGAAACTCCAAGATCCTAAAGCAAACAGACAAACGAACAAAACCATCCTCCCTGCAACGTGAAGCCCTCGGGACGTCGCGAAGGTTCGACAAACCCTAATCCATAAACCATAAAGCACTTGGCTGAGTCTATGTGCATAGTAGGGCTCGGGGTCGTGTTGTGTGATATTTGGGCTTGGGGCTTGCAGAGCCATCTGCCTGCCTGCCTGCTCTTCTAGCTTCCCAAACAAACTGTTGGCTACCGACCCAACCCTGAGCACTTCGTTGAATCCAGTCGCCGATGTCAATGCACTTGCCTCCGCACCAGCCAAGGGCCCTGGAGCTCCGGCTTCAGGGGCCTAGGGGTTAGGGTTTAGGGTTTAGGGGTCTAGGGGTTCAGGGTTTAGGGGTTCAGGGTTTAGGGGTTTAGGCGTTTAGGGTTTAGGGGTTTAGGGGTTTAGGGTCTAGTAGGGTCTAGTAGGGTTTAGTAGGGTCTAGTAGGGTCTAGTAGGGTCCAGTAGGGTCTAGTAGGGTCTAGTAGGGTCTAGTAGGGTCTAGTAGGGTCTAGTAGGGTCTAGGGCCTAGGGCTTCAGGGACCAAACCCATCTTAGCCACATGTTTCTTTGCTGGCCTCCTTTCTGTCTGCAGATTTAGGCTTTAAGGATTACGGCTGTGCCGCTTAGGGATTCAACTCTTGCATTGTGGAGGGGATTACATCAATTCGGCAGTCTAAACCCGAGGTTTTCGGGTGCTTCGAGTGGTTGGAACCTCCCGAACTCAGAGTCAGAAGACAATGCACTTACCAGGAAGACCCGTGAACCTCCAAACCCTGCATTACTACATACATTACACATATACTTTGTGTACTAGGTTCTCTGAACCGAAGAACTCAAAACCTTAGCCCCACACCTCGTAGGGCTATGCAAACCTTGGCACATCTCTATACCCTGCCAAAACCAAAACCCTGAGCCCCGTCGCGAACGAATCGCAACCAAACAAACGACGTCTGGTGTGTTGGCCTCCGAAAGAGAGGAAACCGACCGAATTCGGCTGTGAGTAGATCACATCGTCTGCACCTCCCGGGCATTGGGGGTCTTGGGACAAACACAAAGCCCTAACCCTGGACTCTCCTTTGTGATTGAAAGCCTCGGCAGAGTTTTGTAGTTAGAATGAGGTTTTGTTGATATATTACCATTTCTTAAAAAAACTAAGGATTAGAAGGGGACATAATTATTTGAGTACCCAGACCTCTGTGTTCGGGCTTCGTGGGGCTTAGTTGCTCCATAAAGCCCTTATGGACACCCTTGACAGATAAGATACTGATAAAACCCATATGAATGCACGACCCTGATAAGGCCCTAGAAGACCCGTATAAACCCACGCAAGGCATTTGTTCTTGAAGATCCCATTCTTGCGGACGGCTCAAGCAATTAGATCGAGACTGGAACGTTCTTGATCTTTCTTTTCGGGTCTTATTAAAAGCGATTTTCTAGGGTCTGAGAAGGCTGAAAACAGTTCTTCACGTAAAAATCAGGCAAGGCTGTTAGAGTTTGCTACGGTGCTTTTGATGTCACGACAGTTGAGGGTCGAGGCCCAGGCTTTTGGGGGGAATGCTTCCCGATTAGGGAGTTGAAAGCATTTAACAAACCTACGTTTTTCGGGTTCGTGCGGGTTTAGGCCTTCGGGTGCTTTTGGAAGATTTCTGGGTGGTTGTCAGAATAAGGGTCCCTTTTTGGGTACCGTGAATAATATGCCGCACTATATTAGGACCTAAATGGGACCATAATTTTGACAACCACCCTTCTGTTGAGAGCACAGGCACGCAAGCGGCCGAATGGGGCCAAGGCCACGCGCTGCAACACCGGGCAAGACACCTGAACGGAGAGCGAGGTTGAAGGGATTCGGGTAGTTTTTGCGTTCTTTAGAGTTTCTGGCTTTCAGACCTGAGGGCTGTAGATTGGTCGGGTTTCCGTGCAGCGCTTCAGATTACGAGTTGCTGTCACTTTTTCGACCGGCACCTTTGCGACTAACATGGCAATACTGTGACCTTGGAGCCGACGACGGCATTGGAAGCGAGCGGGTGAGAACGACATTCCGAGCTTACAGCGTGCAGCCCGCAACACAGACATGGCACACTCACTCGTGCATCGCTCATTTTGGCAGCACACAGCAGGAGGCGTTGCATGTCGTCCCGTCCGCACCAACAAACAAAAGGTTGGGCGGACGGCGACAGAAACCCCCACTGTTTGAAGGGCGGAGAGGGTGGGTGTCAAAATTCGCAAGGAATCGACACTTCACAAACAGGCAACAACTAACAACTGCGGCATGCAGCGATCAAGCTCTCCCATGTCATTACGTGCACCCGTGCACTGACACGACCAAGACTATTGCGACTTCGCAGGCTGCAACGACGACCGGTGCTGCACGTTTGCTTGTTGGTGCTCTCTTGTTGATCATCATCATTTTGCCCTCCAAGCATGGGACTTCAGACTCAGGAAGACATGCAAGGGTGCCCTGCTGGCAGATTTCATCGCAACCCGAACCTGAAGCGAAGGAAAAGACACCCGAAACCCAAAATCCCAAAGCCTAGACCCCTCTAAATCCTCAAGCCTGATCCCTCAGCCCTCTAAGACCAGAACGAACTTGCACATTGGAGCTCAGGCGGGTTGAGGCTTTTGATTTTGGTGCCAAGTGCTCCCTCCGCGCCTGCGATTCCTGCGGGGTGGAGTCTGCCATGGCATCAGATGCATGCACCGGCATGGGCTTCAATTTGATGCCTTCTTTGAGCCCATTGATTCGATACCGGCACATCCCGTGGAAGAAAGCTGCTCCGAACAAAATCAAATCTCTTTTCTCAGTGACCTTTGCAGACAAGGTTGCCGGGAGGGTCAACTGCCTTAAAAAGAAAGATGAGGATGGCATAAGACATAAGAACAAGACAAATCTTGCACTTGAAGGAAAGCCTTACAAGACGAATACTGCATAGAGAATGATGGCGGAACTTCAAGTCAGAAGCAGACGAAGTAGACAAACCTTCAGCTCAGAGGGTTTAGGGCCCAGCCTGGATCGCATAGCAAGAACAACTCTGTTGGTTGCGGGATCTAGAACTGCTGGGCCTCACACCAACATGAACCGGAAACCTGGACCAGGCCCTTACTTGCAGGGTCGGGGGACTTAGTAACTGGTTATTTTAGGGACTTATAAGTACCATAACCCCAAATAGGGTCCCTTTTGGGGTACTTATAAGTCTACTTACTAGCTACTTACTAAGTCCCCCGACCCCCCAAGTACTTTGCTGGCTCCATCCTACGTGGAAGCCACAGGTACAAACGGAGTACCCTAGTACACCTAGGTGGCTGAACAATTCGAATGGGCTCTTGGGGTACAGTATAGTATAGTCACAATAAGGAACCCTGATGAATAATTTTGGTGCTTTTTGCAGTATAGTACAGTTGTCATAAGGAACCACAAGGAATAAATTCTTAAAGCTCCGGTGCCTAACTGAAGCCATAAGCCCTAAACCCCCATAGCACCCCCATAGCGCCTTCATGGATCTTCTAAAGGCCCCTTAGACCCCGCCGGCACCCCTTAGCACCCTCATCGATCCCTGACAAAGATCTCTTCCAAAGGCCCCTTCTACCATACCAGAAGACCTGAGGAGAGGCGAGGGATGAGCCTCGAGGTAGTCGCCCAACGAGGTCGCCGAGAGGGCTGGCTCCGTCAGCTTCGGCAGGGAGGCCTCCGGTAGATGCTTTCGAGAGGGGGCTTTTAGAAGGGTTAAAAACGGACTCCACAAGGGCTTCAAGCTGGTTCTAGAATGGTTCCATACGGGCTACACGAGTCTCCAAACTATCGTCCGCAAGTACCCCACACCCTAAGCCCCAAGGCACTCAGCCCAAAAACCCTGAACCCCAAAACACTCCCCCCAAAACCCTAAACACCAAAAGCACTCAGACACCAAAAAAGCTCAGACCTAAAGCCCTCAGTGCCTTGACCGTGAAGTCCACCGCACCATCTGCGGCATCTTCTGGAAGCTCCGGCAACTGAGCCAGGACCTGGGCGTATCGCGTGGGTTCAACGGGTTCTGGATGCGGGCTCTATCAGGTACTGCAGGGGTTCCGGTTCTATGTTGGCCCTCAATTGCGGAATATACCCACTCTACCGGAATTTGAGGCTGTGGGTTCTAGGAACCTTGACAGAGTTTTAGGATCCTTGAAGGCAGGGTACTGTAGGGCCGTAATACTTAGAAGAGGGTATCGGAGCATATGGTAGTATCCTTCCAATACAGAACCCTAAGAAAACTATTGACAACTACTAAGAACACTCAAACTAAACTCTTGAACCCCCAAAACCACTAAACCCTAAACTATAATCCTGAACTCCTTCACCCCCTAACCCCTAAAAAAACCCTACTCCTTACTGAAGGGCTTTTTGCGCTTTTTCTAGCAGGCCGTCGCTGGCGAGCGCTGGCAGAAGACGTCGGAGACGCTCTGGGCAGGGCTGGAGGATCCCAGGGTTTGAGGGGGTTTTCGGGTTTAGAAACCCTAAACCCTAAACCCTAAACCGTAGGGCTTACATAGGGCTAGTGGTTGAGGCGCTTGAGGGGTTTGGGGCTGAGGGTTTTACGGTTTAGGGCTCATGGTTTTAGGACTTTTTGGGGTTTGAAGGTTGAGGGTTGATGGTTTTGGTGCTTTTAGGATTTAGGTTTGCAGGAGAATGGTTGTAGGATTTGAAGACGGGTTTGGGTTCATGGGCTTTAAAGTGTTTCGGGTTTCAGAGTTAGGGCTCATGGTTTTAGAGTTGAGGTACACCTAAAAATAGTAATACAATACAACTAAAAATCCTTAATAATTCTAGGTCATATTGTTGCCTCGCTTCATTTCTTTCACTGCGTTGTAATGAAACAAAGCACAAGGGCGAACAAAGGAACGAACAATAATGAGCCGACATGGAGGTGCCATCAGAATCCTTTTGTAGGAGCTCTTGGGATTCAAGAACCTGTTACCCTTGGCGAACCACAAATCAAGGGTTAACCGATGATGAATGAAGAGAAGGGAAAATTAATTGAATAAAGAAAAACACAAGCGAAAGACAGAAAGAAAGAGCGCGTGGTTTTTGCTTTATTCTATTAATTTCCAATTCGCTTCTCCCATTCTTCGCTCTTCATTCGTTCCTCATTCCGCTCATACATTTTATGGTTAGTGTTTTTAGTTATATTTTTACAACTACTTATGAAAGGATTATTATAACACTATGGATTAGTTGTGGAAATATACCAAAAATCCTGAATGACAGGAAACATTAGTAATTCTTCTTACCGCTCATTCCCTTCGTTTGTGTTTGATTAAAGAAAATAAGCATGCTTTCGTTCCGCTTCACTTCACTTCATTGTCTTATTCTCTTTAATTTGAACACAAGCGAAGCGAACTAATAAAATCTCTTTGTAATTCATATAATAAATCCTTGAAGAGAAAGTGCAATAGAAAAAAGACAACTAAAAATCTACAACTTATTTCGTTTCCTTATTTAATTCACAATAAAACAAAGTCAAGCGTGAGCGGTGAAAGTGGAACAAAGTAGTGTAGGGAATAGACCAAAGAATATCAATAAGAAAAGCAAATTTCTGTCCTAATTTGTAAAGTAAAAACCAGTACACATATTTATGACCTACAACGTTTTGGTGGTGATCTTCGCGCAACGTTATCGAGCAACACGAATCACACGCCACAAGTATGTCCAGAAACCTGCACAAGCTTGGTCGCAGCAGGATAGCGCAAGACTGTACTCAAATTATGAGAGGCCCGCAAAAGCACGCAAGACTCTACGAACGTTCGAAAGGAACATCAGCTTTTCTAGTAACACAGAAAAGGCAAGAAGATGAGGAGTAATATACAAACGAAACACTATACACAATGTCATGAGCACATACAGATGCTGTCAGCCCATGTACCTGCTCACTCTTCTGCTTGCTTCACTATGACCCGGCGCCCCATGGATTTGCCTCCTGCGCTGCGGCGCGGTTCGGGCCAACGGGCTGCTGCGCGGCCATCGAGGGTGCGGAGAGGTTGAAGACCCTGGGAGACGCAATATAGGGGGCCTCATCATAAGGGGCTTGATAATTGGAACAGGGTTTTGGGGTATATGATACCATGATCATACAGGAACTAGAAGGGGGCTAGTGACTCCGATTTTTCTATTCGGAAGGGTTCTTTTGGGGTTTCTGCTTATCGATAGGGCTATTGTTAGTCTTTTACGGGTATTTCAGGTTTACCCCTTCTGGATGACCAACGAAAAAATAAGCAAGCACACCTCGGACACCCTGAAGTCTAAAGCCGCCGAAGCACTGTGGCCCCTGTGGTTCTTTACACTGTTTTGCAGAACCATGTTACCCCTAGACCCTAAACCCCTAAACCGCTGAACCCGTAGACCCCTAAGCCCCAAAACCCTAAAGCCCAAAACCCCAAAACCCTAAACCCCTAAACCCCAAACCCTAAGCTTTGTTTCGGTGAGGGGTTTAGAGTAAAGGCCAGGGAGCCCGTCCAAAGGGCTTGAGATTGAGGGGGATCAGGATCCTCGAAGACGAAGCTGCTGTGGCGGTTTAGATTTAGAATTTACGGGGTTTAGGGGTTTAGGGGTTTAGGGGTTTAGGGGTTTAGGGGTTTAGAGTTTAGGGGTTTAGGGTTTAGGGTTTTCGGGTTTCGGGTTTAGGGTTTAGGGGTTTAGGGTTTAGGGTTTAGGTTCACAAAACTGGGGAGCCCTGCTACTGGGTTCTGATTATCTAGAGTTTGCATATGGAACCTCTCCGTTGCTGAAACTCCCAGATACTTAGAAGAGCCTTCGCCCTTAACAGAATGCCTTGCATCCATAGTATTCGCTGCACAGATACTATTTTGGGCTTCCTTCTTACACCTAAAGTTATTGTATAACTCAAGACCCCATTCTAACTATTAAGGTCCCTACTTGCGAGAGCTTGCCGGTTTGCAAGTGTTATGTCAGGAAACGTCTGCCAAATTTTGGCCCAAGATTTCGGACCGTGGGTCCTTGGAAAATTTCGCCCGCCCACCCTACCCATGGCGGTTAATCCAGCTTTGGCGAAGCCCCCGGAGGCGATCCCGGATGGTTACTCTCAGGACATTGCGAGTCTCCACTCTGCGGTGGCGACTCTTTTCGCTAGGAAGCAGATCCCCGACTCGGTGCAAGCTGCCATTGCCAAGGATGGTTACATCACCCCGAGGACATCGGAGACCGCTGGGACGATGCAGCTGCGGCCAGAACCATTGGCCCCAGGACCCTAGGTTTCGACCCTGGAACCAACGGCTTGCCCGTAGGCTTGGATGCTCGCGCTTCTTTAGGGCTTTCAATTTTGGCATCAGGGCTCCGGGTTTCAGTGCTAATGGCTGAAGACTTGGGGCTTTTCATCGTGGCTTTGGAGTGAGCACTTGGAGCTCGAGGTTTTGGGCTTCGGGCGTAAAGGTTATGGTAAGGGGTTGAGGCTTGGTTTGAAGATGTTCGGCATCGTGGCTCCTGGCCGTGAGTCAGCCAAGGTGCATCAGAGGAGTGCCATAGGTGTCCTTCTCACCTGAACAGGACTGAACATGGCTAAACTGCTAAACTAAAGCTGCGAAACCCGAAACCCTGTCGATGCCCACGCCCTATCATGCCAACCAAACCCTCAAAACGCTGTAAAGCTGCCATCAAATGCCACAAATCCCCACAACACCCTATCAAAGAACTCACAAAACTAAAAACAAAAAACGCGAAACCTGAAAACCTTAAACCCAAAACCCAAAACCTAAACCCCTTGTCTACAAGGGTACTAGGAACCCTGATAGATCCCTTTAAAGGAAGCCCCCCTAAAATTCCTCCCTCCTTTAAAGCGCCCCAAGGGGCCGCTTCGGTCCACGGGCGCCCAAGCCGGGCCGGCGGCCGCCGTGGGCGTTCCCGTGAGGATGAAGCTGACCAGGTACCTGAGCTGTTGAAACGTCTGAAGAAACTTGTGTACATGTACCTCCATCTATCTCTCTCTCTCTCTCTCTCTCTCTCTCTCTATATATATATATGCATCTCGAGACGGGCATGTTCTACTACGGCTTCTCCAACTCTGCATAAATGCAATTCCAAAGGATCTGCAGGCCGTGTGCCCTCAAAAACGGGAAGCCCAACATCCCACGTCCCCAAGCCCCGCTCCTTAAACGCGAAGAACCCCCGAGACCCACCCCAAACCTGAAAACCCCCCTCCAAAGAACCCTTTATAAGACCTATACAACATCCTTGCCGGGCTCTTTGAAGGAAACCCTGTCAAACCCTGATAGAAGCCTTACGGAACCACAGGGGCCCCTTCTTTACTTGGAAAGGCAAGAGCGCTGCATCAAGATGGAGGTCATCTCGTCGAGTCTCCCCTGTGGGTATGACCTCAAAGAAGTGTAAAGGGAGTTTCCGAAAATTAGGGGGGCACCTTATTTTGGGGTCTTTATAACAAGGATCCTACTATTCAGGGTACTTTATTAGGATTTCTGGGTTCCTATAATAAAAATCCTGCTATTTAGGGTACGATATTGGGATCCTCTGTTTTCGGAAACCCCATTTATGTCTGGTCCCCAAAGGCGGAAGAGGCTTTCTAGGCGTGTTGCTACTCATTCGCTCTTTATATGGGTGTGGTTGTGTTTCTGTACTCAGGGATTCTGGCAAATCAGGGTTGCTTCTTAACTTGCGGGTCCTTCACGCAAGGATCCCGCTGCTTTCCTTTAGAGGGTTTAGGGTTTAGGGCCCCCGAAATTAATTAACTGGCCTTAGGTGCCGCTCTGGGCGTTCATGTACACGCTAGAACCTGCCCTGAAAACCTGGTGGGTTCACCGCGACCTTTGCGATTCAAGCAGCCATGAGAAAGAGCTACCGCCCAGTCGAGACCCATCTGTAATCAACCCCTCTTCAAAGAGATCACAACTTAGGGCTTTCTGGCACTTGTACTAAACATAGTAATCATCGCAATAATCACGATCAATTATGAATAGCCTTCTATGCTATAATACAATGGTTTGCGGTCCGGCGGCGACTTTGGACCGCTGTGCTACAAGTTTCAGGTCTGGCACCTGGCTTCGGCACTTTGGCTTTAGGGCTCCTACGTGCGTGGCGTTGTCCCAAGCACTTCCAAATCTTGCACCCAGACTCTGCAGTGTGCCCTACGAGTCCAACGCAAAAAACATAACCTAAATCCAAAATCAACCCCGAGCCCTATACCCCACCCCTCGCCCTCCAAACCAAAACGGCTTCCACAACGGGGACAGTAAGATTCGACCAAGCAGCGGCCCCACATAGAAAGGTGAGCGCAGTCCGTAGATCCTGAAAGGGTTCTGTCCTTAAAATAGCTATTACAAAACCCATTATATAGCCCATGGTCCCTCTTTTTTGGGGGCGTTGTGCCCTGTTTTTCAGGAGAGGTCGAAGTTTTCGCGGCTTTGGGAGGGAGGGTAGAGGGGGCCGGAGGGTGTGGGGCGACTAGTCCCTACTACAGCCGGAACCCCGATACCCGGTTGTAGTAGGGACTATTTCCAGGGTGTGGGAGGGGGTAATAACGACACGTTCGACAGCTTTCATGCAGCTGCGGCTGCCATGCAGTCTCCTCCATAAGGCCCGTTCCCGCCCAAGGTCGGAGCAGCTTAGGGTTCATGATGCTCAGTGTTGACGGGGTTGTTGCCTTTAGCCTTAGGTGTGTTAGAGTTTGAAGCACCTTGGGGTCTAGAATGCTTAGGTCTCGACGGGGTTGTAGCTGGAGGGAAATTTAAAAATCATCCCTAAGAACCCTGAACCGCAGAAAAAACTACAAGCCCCCTGGGCCCCAAAACAAGTAAGGCCAGGACAGTATCTTCAAGATCCCCTGGGTTTAGGGTCTAGGGGTTTAGGGGTTTAGGGTTTAGGGGTTTAGGTTTAGGGTTTAGGGGTTTAGGGGTTTAGGGGTTTAGGGTTTAGGGTTCTTGTGCTACGATCAGCATGATAAGGAAGCTGTCACAGGAACAAGCCGGGGTGCAGGTCCATATCAGCGCCGTGACAGGAGCCTTGGGTGAGTTTTAGGGCGCAGCAGATTTTGCTGAGGAATGTTTGGGTTCAGGAGATTTGTCTAGGTAGAGCTTTGGGTTCAAAATGTAGGGTTTCGGGCTCAGCACTCAAGCCTCAGGATCTACAACTCAATCGGGTGTATAGGGCTTGAGACCCCAAACTGGAACCCTATTATGGACCCCCAACGCCCTCAAAGAAGTTCTGAAGGCAAGCAGAACTAGCCCCCTAAACCCTAAACCCCCTACATTCTTTATCGCCGGGACTCTAACAACCCTGAACCCTAAGCCCCTAAACCCCTAAAGTCCTAATTGCCGGGACTCTAAAACCCTGAACCGTAAGCATGCTCGTAACCCCACGAACCTCCAACTGGGTAGTTGTCAAAATTATAGTCCCTTTTTGGGGTACCCTGAAATATTAGGTGCCGTAGTATAATAGGGACCCAAAAAGGGACCCTAATTTTGACAACCACCCAACCGGAACCGAGAACAGGATGACCCCGACGCGAAACAGATGTGATGGAAGTCGCGGAGCTGCTAAACCCCCTCAGGAGAAATGGTAGGGTTTAGGGTTCCTTTACAGGGTTCCTATAAGGGATGGGTCTAGGCTGAGCCCTAAACGCCTGAACCCCTAAACCCCAAAACGTGTAAGCATGAATCCACACCACAACCCTTAAACCCCCAAAGCCTAAGCTCTTTGCACCGAAACGGAGACTCGGAACCCACGGCTGAAAACCAGAAACTGGGAAGCCCGGTACAGAGCCGAAACGTCTAAGCGCATCAAAAAAGAACTCAAAATAATCAGAAACCGCAGGCGAAGCTCTCATTATACCCCAAACAAACCTAATATACCTCTTGCGGAACTCCCAGGATTAAGATCCGAATTCTCCTATCGAGCGGCTGCAAGTACTGCCGGCCGCCTCAGTGTCCAGAAGATATCGGTAACGTGGGCCTGGCACAACTCCGACGGCTGAGTCTCGGCTGCCGGTTAGAGTGCCCTAAACCCCTAAACCTTAAACCCAAACCCCTAAACCCGAAGCAAACCCTGTACCCTCAAAACAAAGAAGCTGGAATCTGCGGGGTCTCGAGAGCGTTCTTCGTCTAAGCGGAGGCCTGAGGTTCGAAGGCCACAAACCCAGAAGTGCTCGGTTCAAGGTTTACGGCTTAGATTTTAGGGTTGAAGGTTACTGTTTAGGGTTTAGGGTTTAGGGTTCATGTATAGAACTCCTAAAGCTATTGCCGCTGACTTTCACCCACCTTAGCGGTAGCAGTAGCAACCACGTAGCAACTGTAGCAGCCGCAGCGGCGGTGGTGGTGGTGGTGGTGGTGGTGGTGGCGGCTGCGGCGGTGGCGGCAGAAGCAGCAGCGGCTGGAGTACTACTTCTAGTAGTAATAGTCGTCGTCGCGTGAAGCCTTCGTCGCATGAAGTCTTACAAGTCGTTGTCTTCGTTGTCGTAGTCATCGTCGTAGCTGTCCCGTCCTCTTTCCCCTCCTCCTCCTCCTCATCCTCATCGTCCTCTCTGGTCCCTATCGTCTTCGCCATCGTCCCCGTCGTGCTGAAGGTGGCCGCACGGAGGCGCCCGCAGCCAGTATTGTTCGGTCCAGTCGAAGGCAAACCCCAAACTTCAACCCTGACATTGACCGCGCCTGATCCGGGCCCTAGGCTCAGGGCGATCCCTGCGCTGTAGATGTCGGTGGCAGCCTTCAGGAGCAAACTTTGCATCTGTAACTCATGTGAGTTAGTTGCATTCGCAGGCGCTTATTAGTGCGCTAGTGTGATGCAACAATAACAAGGCTGACCATGTACCAAACAATCCACCATCACCAATGCCAGAACCACCAACTGCATCGTGCTACTCTTGTCCATCTTCATCTTCATCTTCATCATCGCGAACACCATCATTAACATCAACACTATCACGTTCTGTATAATGACACTCAGAAGAAACAGGAAGAAGAAGAACAACAGCTGCAATACACGAACGCTTGTCTCCCTCATCTACATCGTCACTGTCGGCCGGGCCTGCATGAGCGCCGGAGAAGTGAGAACGCAGCCGAGAACGCCTGCGCTCAATATCGGCTCCCAAAACCCTGCCGAGTGAGTTTAGGGTTGGAGGCTTCTAGGGCTTTGGATTTCAAGCCTTCGTATTTTCGGATTTAGGGTTTCCTTTTTCAGGAACTTTCGGATTGTTGGGGTCGGGTTCTCCTACATCTAAACCCCAACCCCTTGCTTAAGCAGACAACCTAGCTCTAGACCCCAAACCAGAAGCCTCGAAATGGGAATTCCTGCACCCTGAACGAGAAACCCACGCCTTGTCCCCAAACCCTAAACCCCAAACCCTATACCCTAAACCCTAAACCCTAAGCCCTAAACCCTAAGCCCTAAACCCTAAGCCCTAAGCCCTAAACCCTAAACCTGCACATCTAAGCCCTGAATCCTCCAGAAATGTGAAGCCCCAGGTGCCAAAACCCTGAACTACGGTTGGTTCCTTTAAAGGGATCTATATGGTACCTTTAAGGGGTTCCTTTAAGGGATCTATAGGGGTTAGGGTTTAGGGATATAAATCCTGCATGGCCCATAATAAGGAATATATCGTAATTCCCGTAGTTTAGGGTCCTTAAGGTAATGCTGGATTTATATCATCAACAGTAGCCGCTTGTCTTCACCAGACCAGACCTCTCGAAGGATGTAAAAACATAGAGCCCTAAGACAATGAGATAGGCAAAGAGACAGTTAGATGGGAAATATATATATATATATATATATATACATATAAGTGTGTGTGTGTGTGTGTGTGTCTGTCTGTCTGTGTATGTGTGTGTCTGTGTGTCTGTGTGTCTGTGTGTCTGTGTGTCTGTGTGTCTGTGTGTCTGTGTGTCTGTGTGTCTGTGTGTCTGTGTGTCTGTGTGTCTGTGTGTCTGTGTGTCTGTGTGTCTGTGTGTCTGTGTGTCTGTGTGTCTGTGTGTCTGTGTGTCTGTGTGTCTGTGTCTCTGTGTGTCTGTGTCTCTGTGTCTCTGTGTCTCTGTGTCTCTGTGTCTCTGTGTGTCTGTGTCTCTGTGTCTCTGTGTCTCTGTGTCTCTGTGTCTCTGTGTCTCTGTGTCTCTGTCTCTGTGTCTGTGTCTCTGTGTCTCTGTGTCTCTGTGTCTCTGTGTCTCTGTGTCTCTGTGTCTCTGTGTGTCTCTGTGTCTCTGTGTGTGTCTCTGTGTCTCTGTGTGTCTCTGTGTCTCTGTGTCTCTGTGTCTCTGTGTGTGTGTGTGTGTCTCTGTGTGTCTGTGTGTCTCTGTGTGTCTGTGTGTCTGTGTGTGTCTGTGTGTGTGTGTGTCTGTGTGTCTGTCTGTCTGTGTCTGTGTCTGTGTCTGTGTGGTCTGTGTCTGTGTGTGTGGTGTGTGTGTGTGTGTGGTCTGTGTGTCTGTGTGTGTCTGTGTGTGTCTGTGTGTGTGTGTGTGTGTGTCTGTGTGTGTGTGTCTGTGTGTGTCTGTGTGTGTGTGTGTCTGTGTGTCTGGTGTGTGTCTGTGTGTCTGTCTGTGTGTGTCTGGTGTGTCTGTGTGTGTGTGTGTGTGTGTGTGTCTGTGTGTGTGTCTGTGTGTGTGTCTGTGTGTGTGTGTGTGTGTGTCTGTGTGTGTGTGTGTCTGTGTGTGTGGGTGTCTGTGTGTGCGTCTGTGTGTGTGTGTGTGTGTGTCTGTGTGTGTGTGTGTGTGTGTGTGTGTGTGTGTGTGTGTGTGTGTGTGTGTGTGTGTGTGTGTGTGTGTGTGTCTGTGTGTGTGTGTGTGTGTGTGTGTCTGTGTGTGTCTCTCTGTGTGTCTCTGTGTGTGTCTCTGTGTGTCTCTCTGTGTGTCTCTCTGTGTGTCTCTCTGTGTGTGTCTCTGTGTGTGTCTCTGTGTGTGTGTCTCTGTGTGTGTGTGTCTCTGTGTGTGTCTCTGTGTGTGTGTCTCTGTGTGTGTCTCTGTGTGTGTCTCTGTGTGTGTCTCTGTGTGTGTCTCTGTGTGTGTCTCTGTGTGTGTGTCTGTGTGTTTCTGTGTGTGTGTGTGTCTGTGTGTGTGTGTGTGTCTGTGTGTGTGTCTGTGTGTGTGTATGTGTGTGTGAGTGTGAGTGTGAGTGTGAGTGTGAGTGTGAGTGTGAGTGTGAGTGTGAGTGTGAGTGTGAGTGTGAGTGTGAGTGTGAGTGTGAGTGTGAGTGTGAGTGAGTTAGTGAGTGAGTGAGTGTGTGTGTGTGTGTGCATGTGTGTGTGTGTGTGTGCGTGCATGTGTGCGTGTGCGTGTGTGCATGTGTGCGTGTGCGTGTGTGTCTGTTTACAACTTTGCATGCTTGTATGTATGGATGGATGCATGGATGTGTGTGTGTGTGTGTATATATGTATGTCTTTACATGTGTATACCTGTACATATGTAGGTGTCTATGCGTTCGTAAATAAACAGATGAACATGTAGACATATGATATATACATATATATATATATATGTGAGGCGCGGCCACCATAATCATCATCAATACTATGATTATGCATCCCAAGATCCTTTGGGCAGTAGTGGTGGCTTAATCGCCGGTTCCAGGCCTTTGGACATATCCTAAACATCCTACGAAGACCCTTGAAACAAAAAGCGAGTCAACTCTGAATAAAACCAACCAAACCTCGTATGATTGTTGGATTATTCTAAGAACCCCTGGCTGTCCTTGGATGCCTGATAAGGCTAATATGTTTTATCTGTCGGATTTTGAAATGTAGGGGCGTTTATAATGAGAATAGGGCTTTGCGGGGCAAGTCATACCGTGACCATATTGGGGGACTATACAGTGATACTACTACAAATGACTCACACCTCTATGCTTTATTACACCCCAAACTGCGATTAACATCGGCACCCTAACTAATGAAACTACCCATTGCTCCGACACCTACGTACGTGTACGAACCCTAAACCCTACATCCCTGAATCCTAGTCCTAGACCCCATACCCCCAACCCCAACGTCACTAAACCCTGAACCCTATAAACCCATAACCGGAGCCTGCTGGGCAGGGCTCAGGATCTGTGGCCGCCAAGAGAGAACTCCTGCGCTGGAGCCGCGCGTTTAAGAAGGGTCCGAGCTAAGAGGTAATCGGTAAGGGCTCAAGGGGTGTAAGGTTGAGGGTTTAGTGTACATTTAAGTGATGGGGTCAGGGGTTTAGGGTTTAGTGATGTGTGGGTTTTGGGATTGAGGATTTAGAGATGCAGGTTCAGGGAGGTGAAGTAAGGCTCAAGGGTTTCGGGGTTCAATTGGCAAGGAAGGGCGGCTGAACCTCACTAGGCTTTTGTTCACGAACATGGTGTAAGTTATGATGAAATGACTCTCTGTAGCTTACATCAAGTTCCCAAACAGCAGTGAAAGCAACGCTGCTTTTTAGGGCTACATCTGAAGAGTTGGGGCTGTGGAGGTTTAGGTTTTGGGGATCGGTATGCCCGGACGCCTCCCTGAGCCTGCGGTCCTGGCACACTGCAGGTAGGAAGAATTTCCTCCAGGCATGGCGTGCGGTGGTTCCTAAATCCTAGACCCGAAAGCCCTCGGACTAGGCTTGAGGGTGTGGGATCTAAGGGCTCAGGTTGTCCAGGGTTTAGGGTTTAGGGTTTAGAGTTTAGGGCTACACCACCCTTCTGACTTCTTCGACTTGCTAAGCCTGCGATGACGATATGGCTATATGAGAGGCAGAGGTTAAGATAAGAGACTCTGATTACAAGGTCCACTAACTGGTTTAGAGGAGCTAGGAACGGGTGAAAGACTGTAGGTAATTACGTTATGACTACATGAGATACTGTGACTACGGAGTCACTGATTACGATTGTGGCGTTCTCGGTGCGTTGCTCCTAGTATCAACTTACATAACATTCTGATTGCAATGACCACTCTTGTTGCTACAATACTGTTGCTACGACGAGTACTACCACTACGATCCATGTCTCGATTTTGGTGTAGACTTTATGAACCGAGAAACGCAAACGTGAAGATCCTACTATTTGCAGTCTATGTTGATGTTGGGGTTCCTGCAACCCCACTACATTGTTGTCGTTTTGGTTCGGGGCTGGATTCCCACCTTGCTGCGCCGAGCCATCGCTGAACTCCTGAAGGCAGCAGCTAGCAGGCATGGGCTTTCAAGAAAGCCCGTGCCCTATGCCCATAAACCCAAAGCCCGGGAAGCCCTATAGCCCAAAGTCTTAACGGGAATTCACAAAACAACCCTGAAACCGAATTATAGAAGCCTTAGTTTGAAAGCCGAAAATCCCCACATCCTAAACCCTGAAACCGCATTATAGGACCCTGAATGTAAAAACGCTGAACCACTAAACCCAACGCCCTGAAACCGCATGAACCCTTAAATGAAAAGCAACTCCATAAAAACAAATCCGGGCTCAGGGAGCTTGGCAGGGAGGCTCGCGGTTTAGGGCTTCAGGATTTAAGATCCTAAACCCTAAACCCTAAACCCTAAACCTCAGGGCTTTGGGGCTCCAGCGCCTTTGTGTTCAGGGATCTGAGGTGTAGGGTTTTGGGGTTCGAGCTTGGCTGAGGGTTGGGAAATGAGGGCTCGCACGAAATCACCTCTACAGTCTATAGTGGTTTGGGATCCCGAAAGCCTTGAGTTACAGAAAGCCTGAACCCCGAGCACTGAAGCGCCAAGACCTTGACGGGGTGTCTTGGATACTGAATGGTGGAGGGACGAGAGTTGGGAAGGCCTGAACTCTGAGATCTAGTTCTGCTGTTCGTAGTTGCTGACTTCCCGGGTCCCTACCCCCAAATGCTGCAGATGGTACGTAGAGTGCTACGCAAAAGGGTTGAAGGTCACCGACTGAGCTACGAAGCATTCCTACGCCGGGCTGCGGTTTAAGGGGAGTTGAGAAGTTTAGGGTTTAGGGTTTAGGGTTTAGGGTCTAGGGTTTAGGGTTTAGGGTTTAGGGTTTACGAAAGCTTCACCTGGTTACAACCATAAGCTCTAAGCCCGAAGCCTGAACCCTAAAACCCCAAAGCCCCAAGCACCGTCGAACTCCAAAGGCTTCAGACTTCTTGCTTCTATCTGAAACCCGCCTGTGAATCCGAAATCTCGCTACCCCATCCTTGCTATGTCCCTGTCTTCGGTTCAAGGTTTTCGGTTCAACACTGTTGGGAAGCGCTTGGCTCCTAACCCCCTAGATGATAGAACCCACATTGAGACCCCTAAGCAAGAACCATCGGTTTCTCAACCAGGTTCCGACAATACGCTTACGAGACCAGTAAACAATCGTGTCAAAACCCTATCCAACAATGACTGAGCAGAGTCATAACCCTAAACCCTAAACCTTGACAGTGCTTCTCAAAAGCAAACGGGCGCCTGCAGAAAGGCGCCAGTGGCATCGGCAGGGCTCATGGACAAAGAGAAGACGTTCCTGATCGGGTTCAGGGTTGAGGGTATTAGGGATTAGGGTTTGGGGTTTAAGGATTCGGGATGAGGGATTAGGGATTCGGGTTTGGGATCCCCAACCCCCCGCAGACTCCAATATCCCTTAATGAAGGAATATACCGTAAATAAGGTATATTCTTAAATTAGGGGATATTGGATATTGGAGTCTCTGGGCCAGTCCTCTGAAACTTCGGGTCGAGGGTACTAAGATTTGGCGTTTAGGGTTTAGGGTTTTTGGGGGTAGGGTTTTAGGTACACCGCGGCATCCTCCGGCTGATAAGCTCGTGCACCCGAAGTGAAGGCCTGCAACCATAGCACCTTATAACGACCCAGAACCTGTCGTCCGAAAAGAGACTCGCATGCAAAAGCTCGAAAACCAGAGCATTTCATGGGCATTGGAATCTGAAAGGACAATGCTGTAAAGCTCGCGGCAGTGGTGATGTTTCGAAGGGTTGGAAATTAGCATTTGGTCGATCCTTATGATCTAAGCAACCCTCTCTCTGTGGAAAAGGCAAACGAGGATACCTTCGTCTTGGGACGTCCGACCTACGACCTGAAACTGAACAAAAACATACCTGGCTGACGGCAACTGGAGCAGAAGGGTCATTGTCATTCGGATGTTCTGCTGTCTCGGCTCCGGCATCGAAAAACCCTGACAAAGAATCAGTTCAGTGAAACTTTAGATCCTAAACCTTGCAGCCAACGCGCCACTCTCTAGTCACGGAGCCCAGGATCATGGGCCGATCTCCTCAGCTCTCCGAACCCAAGCGGCGATTCACGGGTTTAGGGCTTGTGGTTTCGGATTTAAGTTAGGGTTTGCCGTGGAATAACGCATAGGCGACGACATCTTGCGACAAGGCTGTGCCAGGTGTTTTGGCGATGAGCTGCGCAGGCCTGTCTACAAGCCGTTTTTCCTTCTTTCCCCCCCACCCCACGCCACACAAGGCGAGAGGAGGACAGGCCAATTCAGAGCAGCCCTACGTCCTCCACTCATCATGCGATTGCGTCATCATGTAAATCTACATGTTCGGGCACTTGGTTCAGGAAGTTCTCCGGAGTTCACATAATTAACCGAGTTCCGTGGCCGACCGCGGCGACGAAGAGCTGCTTCCCTGCGCTCAGGTGGTCAAGCCGGCGCTGGTGCGATCTGCTTGCGATACAACGGGTTGAACATGGGCAGTCGGCGGCGCCTCTTTTGGCATATCGGGGCTTCTTTTTATTCGGTTTCTTTGTCTTTGTCTTCTTCTCATTCTTGTCCTGATTTTCCTTCTTGGCCGACGATGAAGATGACTCCGATCGCTTCTTGCCCTTCTTGTGTTTGGTTGGCTTGGGGCCGGATGTGCTAGCGGCCGAGGACGAGCTGTGGGGCGCGGCCTGAGCGCTTGTTGCCTCTCCCTGCAGTTGCTGCGCTGTATTTGTCGGCAAGCCGTTTTTCCCACGCCTGAACCGATTTGCTCTGGTTGCCTCCGATGGTCTTGGCCCAGTTGGCAGATCGTTAAAGAGAGCCAGGTCTTTGAGCAAGGTCACGGAGAAAAGGCAGAGGACGGCCGAGCTGGACGCCAAGCGACCACAAGCTTCAAGAGATCGTCGGTCGCACCGGTCGCAAACGCCACGTCACATCGTTTTCGTCGGGTTGCTTGGACTTGCCCACGCGTTCAAGACCGAAATTTCACTCGCCATCTAGGAACCCTGTGCTGTCGCCGAAGAGCCTCTCAGTTGTCGTACTGTTGAAGTACTTCACGTCGTCGGGCCAGTCACCGGCAAACTGCCGTGCCAGGAGCTTGAAGCCGGCATCCACACTTGCGGCATCCAGCTTCCGGCCCATGCCCAGGCGCCGGCACAGTTCCTGGTTCCCTGCATGCTCTCCAAATGTACCGGCCCGATGTGGAAGGAAATGCCATCCTCGCTGCAGTAGGATGCCAGCTTCGCCTTGGCCCAATATTCCCACTTCGGTATGACGTTGCGGCGCTTCTTGGAGCCTTCCTTCCCCGAGGCACATGGCCCCGTGGTCTTTCCCATGACGGAAAGAAATACTTCCCCCCAAACTGCCTCGAGCGCCCATGCCAATGGTCAGAGCTCTCGCCTCGCCAGTTTAGGGTTTAGGGAGGCGTGCTTTTAAATTGTCATCACATTCTAACCACAGGACCCCACGTTCGACTCAACATCGCTCAAGGAAACCGGTAGAGATCCAAGCCCAAGAGCCCTGTGTATCCCAAACCGTCCCAAACCCTAGGCCCATAGGCTGGCAACCCAAGACACCCCGGTCCCAGCTCCCATCCTGGCAACCCTCTGAAGGGCTCAGGAATCAAGGCTTCGGCTGGTTGAAGGGGCTCCGGGTGTGGTGCTTTTTTTTTCATATCTGCCCATGGGACAACCCAAAGATCTCTGGGTTTATCACGAATCCAACGCTCCAGGGGCGAAGGCTTGGAGTTCAGGGTTCGATGTTCGAAGACCGGCCTTCAGACAACCAACTCGTCACCCCTGAACCACAAATGCTAAGGCCCCAAGCCCCAAGCACACAGCCACAAACCCTAAACATGATCGCACCCTTATGGCGCCTACAATAATTACCTTCATGGTTCCTCTTCCCTTAAGCCCTGAACCGAAACCCTCCACCCTTAAACCTTAAACCCTGTATCCTCCAGCCTTTCGACCCGTGAACCCTTCAAACCTTAAACCCTTAAACCCTTAAACCCTCAACCCGAAAGGCCAAGCCACCGTGGGGCTTGTCAGCTCCAGAGCAGTACATGCTTTGGATCGGGGCCGTCAGCACCTCTCCTTGCCCAGAGACTCCAATACCCCTTTATTAAGGAATATTCCTTTGTTCAGATTAGGGATCCTATTATAACTTAAGGTAGATTCCTTAATCAAGGGATATTGGAGTCTCTGGGTGCTGCGAGGCCGCTTCGTCTTCAGGGCCTACTTGGAGGGTCGGGGGGACTTAGTAACTCTAAGCGGGTTCCTTTAGGGTTCCTTTAAAGGGATCTATAGGGATTCTGTAAAGGTTTAGGGTTCAGGGGACTTAGTAACTGGCTATTTTAGGGACTTATAAGTACCATAACCCCAATTAGGGTCCCTTGTAGGGTACTCATAAGTCTACTTACTAACTGCTTACTAAGTCCCCCGAACCCCCAAGTAAGGCTAGGAGCTTCGGGGTGGGAGGTTTACTTAGTCTTTATAGTGGGTAATATTATCCCAAAAAGTGTAAGGTGTATCCACTCAGCTACTAAGTTTAGGGATTTAAAATTTTAGGATTCCGGATTTGTAGGGTTCAGACTTGAAGCCTCCAGGTTTGTAGTGTCGGGTGTAGCGCATCTTTAGCTAGGCGATGTTGTGATGTAGCTCGGGTATGGGACCATCAACGGTTTAGGGTTTTAGGGTTTATGGTTTAGGGACCCCGAATCCCGAAGCCCTGGACCTAAACTTTCAAGTTGCAAAGCACCAGCACGTAAACCACCACCTCAGTGTGGGGTTAGGAATCTACGCATTCAGCAATTCGGCCACCGTAAGGTTTGGGAAAAGAGCTTAGGATGTAATATAGGGGCCTTCATCGTTAGACAAGGATTGTGGGGCCCATTGTGCTGTAACTATAATAAGGAACCCCCAAAAGAGTATAGGTAATTAATAAGGCCCCTACACTAGTTTCAACAATACTTTTTCCCGAAGCTGCCGTCGTAGCCGGAGAAGTAGAAGCCTGGTACATCGATGAACTCCTGCGACAGGCACGGTCTAGGGTTCAGGGTTTAAGGTTTAGGATTTAGAATTTAGGGTTCAGGGTTTAGGATTTAGGGTTTAGGGTTGAGGCTTTAAGCGTTTAGGGTTGAGGGTGGTTTTTGGGTTTAGGGTGCATAACCGATTCTGGGTATCTGGGAGCCCTTCTGGGGAGGCTCTTGGGATCCTGCTGTTTAGGGTCCTACATTAGATCTTAGGGTTTAGGGTATAGTCTCTGAAAACGCATTGGGAGGTTCAGGGTTTCGGATGTTGGGGCTTTGGAGTGCAACGGTTGAAGCTTTCGAGCTCTGGACGGATTTCCAGGGTTAGAGGCTGCACCTCCGAAACCCTAAACCCTAAACCCTAAACCCTAAACCCCCTAAACCCCCTAAACCCCCTAAACCGTACCTCCGAAACCCTCATTTCAAAGCCTCTCCAAAAAAGTCACAAACCGCAGTGTGCACTGTGCCCCTCTAAACCCTAAGCCCCTACGCTTTGAGAACAAGGGCCTCGCCTAAAGCACCGTGAGATGCACGAAATGGGCTTCAAATTTAGGGCTTAGGGTTTCGGGTTCAGGGTCTAAGGCCTTGGGGCTTGGTTGGGTTTGTAGGCTTTAAGGTTTGGCTTGGGGTTCGAGCGTGGTGTTGGATTTGGCGTTTAGTTCAGGATGCAGGGCTGGTGGGTTTAAGGCCAAGTTTGGGGCTTGGAGCTTGTATTCTTTATGGTTTAAGGTTGTATTGAAGGCTTGGTGTGTTCGGGTTTTCGGGGCTTGCGGTTGAGGACACCTGGCAACCGAAAACAAATCAACACCCAAACACGAACAATCCATGCAAAGCCAATCCTCAATCAAAGGTCTCGCGCTCTTAACTCCTACAGCAATGGCAATGCCTTCAAAACAAAATCTGCATGTCGGCAGGTAGAACAACAACATAAATCTGTAAACCGTATAGTCGCTTCGAACCGCTACGATGTGTGTGCCCAAAAAAACCGTAGACCTAAACCCTGAACCCCTACGCCCTGATAGTACCCTCGTAGCATTCCTCAAAGGATCCCTTTCATGGAACCCTACTTGGGGGGTCGGGGGACTTAGTAAGTAGTTAGTAAGTAGACTTATAAGTACCCTAAAAGGGACCCTAATTGGGGTTATGGTACTTCTAAGTCCCTAAAATAACCCATTACTAAGTCCCATGAGCCTTTAAGTAGTCTAATAACCTAAACCCCCCGATGGGGCCTCCGGGCTCTGGTAGAAGCGGCACATCTCCATAAGCTGCTTCGCTTCAAGGTCCCTCAAGCCTCGGGGCTTTGGGGATTTGGGGGAGTTTGGGGGTTTAGAGTTTAGGGGTTTAGGGTTTAGGGTTCAGGGGTTTAGTTTGGGGTTTCGAGTTGGTGGTTTCGAGTTTGGGGTTTAGGGCCTAGGGCTTAGAGTTTGGGGTTTGGGGCTTACGGTTTCGAGTTTAGGTTTTGCGACGTAGAGTTCGGGGCTTCGGGTGTTGTTCAAGTTCTTGGTATGCTCTGTTTCGGGTCGAGGGCTTCCGATTCACATTCCGGTAACGGGCGGTGGCGGCCACTCGGCACTCCTAGGAGGTCAAGACGCAGGAAAGGCAAGGGTTGAAAGGTGTTTCTTTTTAGGGATACGGTTGATGATACAAATCCTGCATGACCCATAATAAGGAACATCCCATAGTTCCTATAGTTTCGGGCCCTTAAGGTAATACAGGATTTTCGTCATCAACCGTAAAGAACTTCGAAAAGCCTTGAAAACCTGTTACACCGAGACCTCTGATCCGCCAACCGCAGGCTCCGGCGTAGTTCAGCCAAGCACGCAGCGTCAAAGAAAGCAGGGCACCAAGAATGATAAGAGGCTAAGCCCAAGCCAGGGCGCACTGCAGGGAGGTACAGCCTGTTGCGTTGAGGCACCGCTGCCCCGACGTCTGCTCCACCTCGTGTCAGGCTTAGGGCCGGCCGTGCAGTGTTGTCATGCTTTCGGTGTTGTGCACATTTGCGAAGCTGGGTCCAGCTCTCCATGGAAAAACCAGATCTTCATGAACGTGCAGGACAGGATGGAGACGTCAACATCAAAAATTGGGCTCCGTGCGAGTGCTGCTGGTGATGATGCTGGTCGTCTTGCTGGTGTTGCTGATGATGCTGCTGAGGCTGAAGCTTATACCGGTGCCGCTGTAAACTGACAGAAGTCATGCAGGTGGTGGCGATGAGGGATTGATACTGACAATGATCCGGCTGTTCGGCGTGCGGTTTGTGGCTCTGTCAAACCAGTAACCCTGAAAGCTTGAACCCTAAACCATAAGAGATGAACCTAAAACTCGAAACCCCTTGCACCCTAAAGCCTGAACTAAAACGCTGGACCACACTGGACCTAAAACCCTACACCAATAAACATACAGAGGTGTCAGAAACGACAGGACTCCAATACAGACCCCAGAATAACATAAAAGGAGGACCCCACAAGGCTTAAGCGGCACTCCTGATTTCAAACCACAAACCCTACACCCTAAACCCTACACCCTAAACCCTAAACCCTACACCCTGAAGCTGACACTCCCAAAACGCCAAGAGCCACCTCCGAGATGTCTGCGGTGAACATCGCGGGCAGAAAGCCTGGAACCCGCGAAGCTCTAGGACTCCGTGGGTTTCGAAGGGGGTTTGGGGGTTTAGTGGGCGTTTAGGGGTTTAGGGGTTTAGGGGTTTCGGGCTTAGGGGTTTAGGGGTTTAGGGGTTCAAAGTTTGAGGTTTAGGGTTTGAGGCTTGGGGGCTCAGGGTTTAGGGCGTTAAAGGCGTTCTATCCGGGTTGTAATGAAAGCTTCAAGGCCAACAGAGTGGAGTCGTGTTGGGTCTACAGTGGGACGTACTTGGAATTCACGCGCTGTGTAGTTTAGAGTAGGGTTCCGGTTGTCGGATTCAGTGGTTGAGGAACTTCGGGTTAAAGAGATTTTCATGGCTCTGAGGTCCCCAAACCCCAAAGCCTACTTAGTCAGGTGCTTCCGAACACCGTAAATGGGCTTCTACATTTGGGCCTGCGCACGCGAAGTTCCATGATCCTTCCAGCTCACAAAAACCCCAGTCCTCAACCCCTCTGGCCTAAACCAATAAACCCCTGAACCCCAGCAGCCAAACCCTAAACCCCGCAACCAACTGCACCCATCCACGTTCTACTGGTTCTACTCGATGCGAGTTTCAAGGTGAGTATCTTTGCTATTGACACCCACCAACTCCCAAAAAACACCTGCACAACATCAAAAAACCTCCAATAATCCCTTGAAGCGACCGTAATCCCATAATGGAGTAGGCCATATAATTTTATAAGTCCCAAAAACACGACTCCCTATTGAAACTCACCCCGAAGCCCTCGGGATGGCAGAGCCTGGGCTGAGGGCAATGGCCTGCTGGAAGAGCCTCCCAGCAAGTGGGTGTCAAAATTAGGGTCCCTTTTTGGGGTACCCTAAATATTAGGTGCCGTATTATAATAGGGACCCAAAAAGGGACCCTAATTTTTACAAACACCCAAGTGATTTGGAGCTCCAAACTTCGAGATTTATGGTGTTGGGTTTTGGGGTTAAGGGTCTAGGGTTCAGGGTTTTGGGGTTCGAGGTTTTTTTTGGGGGGGGTTCGAGGTTTATGGTGCTGAGTTTTGGGTTAGGGCTTAGGATTTATGGTTTTGGGTGTCGGGGTTTAACTAACAGTTTTTCAGGTGTCATCATAATGAGAATTGGACTATATACGTGGGCCTGTCATATAATGCAATAGGACAAAATTCGGGCCTTTACAATAAGAATCGGACTTCGTTAGGTCCTTCGCAATACTAAAAATTCCCTCATGCTAAGATCAGTATTTATTTGGGCTTGTACTAACTAGAGTAAGGCTTTGGTGATCGTCCAGTGAGGTAAACTACAAGCGGACCATAGATTTTACGCTATAGCCCATTACTCCGACGTCTGTATTCGGTTGAAGGTTCATGGGTTGTTGGCCCCTTGGTGGCAAAGTGCGTTTGATTGTCTCACACGCCTCGTCTGCTGATGCTGGGTTGTTTGGCTTACCACCAACAACGGTACCAACAGAATGCACAACCATGATTCAAACCGTAAACCCCGAAGCCCTGTTCTGCAAAAACGACGACTCGGACTGCTGGCCACCGAAAAACCGAAAGGAAGTCTACTCGCATTGGGATTTACGGTTCAACGGCGTTTGCTTTAAGCTCCTTTTACTCCTGCTCTAGGTCTCCCCAAGCGCGGGTTCAGGGTTCAAGATGTGCGGCAATACTTCCCACATCTCACGCAGCACAGAGAGGGAACCCGAGAGGCACAATGAAACCATGCAGCGAACCCCATCACGTTCTGAAACCCACGGACTAATCGCCATTTCCACCCCGATCACTAAATCCCTCGGGAGCCACCCTGCACTCAGCGGAGACTGCTCCAGAGAAACGACGGAGCGGCCCCCTGGCAGTCGAGGGCTGCAAGCAAACAAGCCCTACTGCAGGTCTGGCCGTGTAGGTACATGTGTATGTATGGAGATACGTGTGTATGTGCGCAAGTGTAGGTAAAGGCATGTGCATTTTCGGTGTGTCTGGTTGTATACATGTTTTCTGTGTACTTGTTGGCCGGCCTGTTTATGTATATAAGCATATATGCATATGTATCTGCCTGCATATGTAGTGTCTGTTTGTTTGCTTGCTTGCTTGCTGAATTACTTCACTCAGTCTTGCTGTCATACACGCTTATTTTCCTGCTGTATGATTGAGCTGCTATCCGTTTAACCCCTTCAAAGCCAGAATTACAGGCGTTCGGTGGCGATATGAACAAGCCAAGGGTTGGAGGCCGGCGTGTCGGTCGTATTCGCATGGTCGGCATCATCACCGACGGGTTCAGGGTTTAGGGGCAGCACCTACTGGCCTACAGGAGGTAATCATCGTTTGTCTTTTCTGTGCGGCTGGCGCAATTAATCACCACTAATCCCTACTACTCATGACTCATGGCCGATGGCCCCAAATCCAGGGTGCTCACATAAGATCTTCCGGACAAACGACACGTCATAGTACAGGGGGGATCCTTGAACTCACCCCCTTCCCCCCATCCCCACCCGCTCCCCCACCCCTCCCCATGAGCGGATCAGGCTTGTTGAGGGTGCTCCAAATGAACGAATTTTAGGATTGAGAAAGCCTCCTACAAGCCGACAGCCTAGGTCCCAAATTTACCTTTGGTTAGTAGGGAATGGAGGAATGGGGTACAATTATAGCTACTATTACTACCATTCTTCCATTCCCTACTAACCAAAGGTAAGAAGTCTTTCAACCCGAAGCCGAAACAGACTCGATTGGCCCCAAGTTGTCACACGCACCCTCAACACCGACAAAGAAGCCGTCAGCCCGACTCCCATCTGAAACCATCACACTCTAAACCCCATGCCCCTTAACCGCTCGGGTTTAGGGTTTGGGGTCACCAAACCCTGAACCCCAAACCCCTAAAAGCCGCAAACCTTAGACCCCTGAACCAGCGGAGATTCTCTCCTGCTGACTGGCCGAAGATGGTCACCGCATTCGGGTCTCCCCCGAAGCTGGCGATGTTCCTCTGAACCCAGGACCTCCGCGGTGGGATCTTCAGGCTTCAAGGCTTCACGGCTTCGGGGGCTTCGGGGGCTTCGGAGTTTGGGGGCTTTTGGGGTTTTAGGGTTCAGGGAGGTGTGGGCTTCGGGCTGTGGCTTCGAGGGTTCAAGGTGAAACCGTAGAACTTCGTAGCTCTAGCCTTGGCCTGGTAAAAAGGAGCGACCCTCAACCCTAAATCCAACCCCAAGCCCTAAGCCCCAATAAAACCCGAACCCTTTAGGAAAATTGTTAGCGATATGAACCCTTGCTGCGATGCTTCGGGTTGAGTGCTCGGGCTTTCGGGTCAAAACCCTGTGGCCTGGATGAGTCCAAGAAGCGCATTGTTGTATAAGGGCTCATACTCCACCGGATGCGCGGCAGCTGTTTTGCACCAGCAGCAAGCACGTTTCACAAGTGTCTCGCCCTCCGGGCTGAGACTGCTGCACTGTACAGGGTGTGGGAGCGGTGGGCGGGAGCCTTGAACGGCGCCGGTTCCATAATCGCCCTTGTGCGTTCAAGGGCTCATACTCCACCGGATGCGCCGCAGCTGTTTTGCACCAGCAGCAAGCACGTTTCACAAGTGTCTCGCCCTCCGGGCTGAGACTGCTGCACTGTACAGGGTGTGGGAGCGGTGGGCGGGAGCCTTGAACGGCGCCGGTTCCATAATCGCCCTTGTGCGTTCAAGGGCTCATACTCCACCGGATGCGCCGCAGCTGTTTTGCACCAGCAGCAAGCACGTTTCACAAGTGTCTCGCCCTCCGGGCTGAGACTGCTGCACTGTACAGGGTGTGGGAGCGGTGGGCGGGAGCCTTGAGCGGCGCCGGTTCCATAATCGCCCTTGTGCGTTCAAGGGCTCATACTCCACCGGATGCGCGGCAGCTGTTTTGCACCAGCAGCAAGCACGTTTCACAAGTGTCTCGCCCTCCGGGCTGAGACTGTTGCACTGTAACACCCGTTTCCCACTCCTGCCGCTTAAGGCTTCATCCCTGTACAGAGACAAGTGTATCAAAGCTTGCAGGGCATCTCCATAGCTGACTTGCCTCCTCAACTCAGCGTACCCTAAAAGGGCCAGTTCGATGGTGGCCTTGGCCTCAGGCTGCAAGTTTTGATAGAAGTGCAACGGCTGCACTTCCTGGACATATATCTCCATGATCCTCGTCGTCAGCCACCTTCCCCGGCGCCTCGTCAGCTCAGCGCTCTCCGTAGATTGCATAAGCCACGTCGCACCACCAGCTCGCAAAGACGCCAACTCAAGGTGAGGGGAGCTCGACGAGGGCGAGGCCGGAAGGTGAAGGGCGCCGCACAGCTGCCGAAAACACGTTCGCAGGGCTTGGCCCGAGTAGTTCCAGAGCCTTTCCCCAAAGCTCAGTGAAGCAAAACCCAGCCGAACAATGGAGATGATGTCGGGTTGGTCGATCTTGACCGACTGGTGCCTGGCCGCCCGGTTTCGTGTCTTTGGCTCGTCAATGGTGAAGAGGATGTAGTCAACTGTGTTTGCAATATCCTCAGGAAATAGCAAGTGCCGCCTAGTCGCTTGCAAAACCTCACCTATTCGGAGCAGACCGCCCCAAGCCAAAGCCAGTGCTGCTGCGACCCTCGGCCATCCCCAGGACCAGGCCACAGACACCAAACCCAGAGGCACCTGCCACGGCATGGCCGTATGGTGGATGTCGGGCTCGGCCTGCTTCCAGGCAAAAGCTGTATCCCAAGCCGGCTGAAGCACTTGGGTATGCTCGAGGAGAGGCTGTTGACAGTCTCGCTGTAGTGGGAGTAAGGTCGCCCAGCCTCGTAGAGCTCGCGGCCGTAGCGGGACAGCACAGCATTTATAGAGTCTAGTCGACCCACCCTTCGCTCTCCGGCAGCCGACAGCCAGTCCAAAAAAGCAGCCCACAGCGCTTCCCGGCGCTCCTGTGTCCGACGTTCGACGGGGCGGCCAGCAGAAAGAGGGGCTAAAAGCCTCGCTTCCTGCCTGGCCGCATCGCCTGAGTTCCGCGGTCGCAAGCCATGGCTCGAAGGTAGGACAGACAGAGCAGGCCGGAAGGAGAGGAGGAGAACGACAACGCAGGACCAACGACCCGGAAGAAGGGGGCCCTCCGCAGGATAGCCCAAAGTGGGATTTTGACACCAGAAAGGAGGTGGCACGAAGGTGCGGAAGGAGCGCGCCTGGTCTCGGGCCTGAGGGTCGCCCAGAATGGGGCAGCAGAGGCAGAAGACCAGTCTTTGCCAGTTGGCGGCCTAGCGGCGCACACGAGGCAGAGCCAAAATGCTCGCCGCGGCTCCCGTCGTCGAAAACCGGAGGACTTGCAAGGACGGCGTCCCGGCTTGGAGCATCTGCTAGCATCAAACGTGTAGGGCAGAAGGGGAGCTGGCCGTAAAGCCCAAAGGCCAGGGACACGGCAGTAATTCGGCGGAAGGAAACGGAGGGGCCGGGCGTGGTGCGAGCCTGATAGCACAGCAGCCTGTAGTAGCACGCCGTCTCAAGGAGGTTGATGTGAGTCCTGCGCCTCCATCTCCAAGCTGTCAAGACCGACCACGGGGCAGCCAGGGCCAGGTCGTTCTCACTTCCTATGGTGTCGGGGCCTGGAACGGAGCCTGAGCACTCTAGCGGGGGAGAAGGAGGAGCCGGCCGGGAGCATCACAACGAAGTCGACCAAAGCCTCCTCGCAGAGGTGGAGCACCCATTCAAGCAGACGCCTTTCAGCGCAGGGCCCGATCAGCACATTCCTGGAAGCCCCTTCCTTCCTATCACAAGCACGCGGAGGGCTGGAAGGCGCTTTGGGGCATTGCCTTGGTTAGGCGGGTCGGCCTCGGGTAGCTCCTCAAACATTGGGTCGACTCGCCTCAAAGCCGCACACTCTCTGGAAAGCAGCCGAGCGGAGGCGGTGCCTGAGCCTCACAACGATTGCCTGAGCAGTGCCGGAAGAGTCGGTGGCGAAGAGCTTATCCGCCGGAGCGGAGGGGGCTAACCTCGGCCGCCGTCACAAAGGAGAAGGCAGCGTCGAGCACAGACATGAGGGCCTCCCGAACAGGAGCGGAAGTCAGGAGCCAATCAAGGAGAGGTGCAGGTAGAGCAAGAGTCGCCGCGGCCTGGAAGGCCTGGTGTGCTGCAGGGAGCGGTCGACAGGAGGGACCAGGAGACCTCATGGCCGCGCGGGGGCGCCCTGATGGTGGTAGTCGCGCCGGTCTGTCACATTGACCGCTGGCCTTACATGGAGGCAGACCAGGCGCGATGGCCCACCAATGACTCCTTCACACATTCCTGCCGCGGCGGTCACATATCTGCCTGTCCGAGGCCTGGTCCTTCCTGGCATTGAAAATCTTGACGGCTTCGAAGGGCCGCTCTGGAGGAGGGCCTTGCTCGTAGAGACGCAAGAGGTCATTTTGGCGTCCCACCGCTCGGCCAGGGCTATCAGAGCGCTAGGGTCCTCCTTGAGCATCGGGACCTCGTGAAAGAGCGGCTTCCTGATGTCTGGCAAGAGCAGGCTTTGGGGCTCATGGAACCCTGGGACGGCCGGGCCGTAGGGATCACAGTGCGGGGCAAGACGGGTCACATGCAAGGAGACGTCGCCGAGGCGGGCGACCAATTCGGCAGTTCGCCTGGTCGCCGAAACAACATCAACCGTGTCGACGGAACTACAGCCCCTCACTAGGTCACCAAGGTAGCTCAGAGCCCGTTTTTGGGCAGCGTTGGGGACCCTCTGCATAGCAGCCCTGGCCGGGAAAGAGCATCCGGCGTGCACGTAATTGAGGGCGGCAACGGTGAGGCAAGTCAACCGGCGGATACCCTAGCACGGGCACGGGGCCTTTTGGGAACACGTTGAAGTGTGGCAGCGGCAGTGGAAAAAGGGCGCCGGCCGGGGAGCGGGTGCTCGCCGGTTGCAGGCGCAAAATGCTCGCAAGGAAAGAGGCAAAAGGAGTCCTAGTCCTAAGCAGAGCGACGGCTCAGGAAGGTTATGAGGCGCTGAATTCACATGGCAGGGGGAGAGCTCGTGGCGCTGGCTGGTGGAGGCCTAGGACCCCGGCTAACGCTGAGGGGGCACGGGTAACCACACAGGAAGGCCAGGCTGGACGGGAGACATGTCCCATTTGCCTCCGTCCTGGGAAGCTTGTTCTATGGCCACAAGCATCAGGCCCAACATGTCGAGGGACCTCTGCAATGAGGCTGGTCATGCAGCAGTGCTGTCCAAAGCCTCCGAACCTCTCGACGTAGGCCTGGAAGGAGAAGGGGAGAGGGGCAGACCGAAACTCCTCCACTCCAGAGTCTTTGGCAGAGGGCTTGCGGGAAACATTCGCCTGAAACCGTTCTGGGTGACCGCTGTCATGAAGGATCCGTTCCGCTCCGCCAGCTCTGCTTGCAGCTTGTCCCGTCGGGCCGTGCCCCGCGACGAGAGACCTAAGCCTCCACCCACCCCGTCACCGTAATCGGCGGGTGCACCGAGGCCTGGCTTATCAGGTGGTGCACCAGCTGTGTGAGGGCCGAACTCTGCTGCATCATGGCGGCCTGCAGGTCTGGAGGGTCCGTGGCATCCAAGAGGGCGGGGGCCGGACCAGTGGCTTGAGCATCTGCCAGAGTTGCGGCCGCGGCCTCGGTGGATTCGTCTTCGGGGCCGGCCCCAGCCGCCGCGCAAAAGCCTTTGCAGGGTCCTGGCCTGCTGGTGGGCAGGCTTTGGCAATTCGCCGCTCCCAGCCGGAGCCGCGGCGAACTTCTCCTCCAGCTGCTGTTGGAGAGCCCCAACTTGTTCCAGCTCTGTCAGCTTCGGCATTGCCTCCAGTAGGGGACCCCAAGTGCGCCGTCGTTACCCTCTTCGCTTTGGGCGGTGCCTTTGGGTCGCGGCGCTCCGGCACCTCCGCCTCCTCGGCTTCCTCCGGCATGTCGGGAAGCCCTTCCTCCAGCGCACTGTAAAAAGCGGCTCTTTCGGAGGACATGGTGCGCACCCAGGCCCGGACCAAAACCATAAGCTGACTCACCTCGGGGAAGCGCTGTGGAGTGGTAGGGTCGAAAGGCACGACCGATGGAAAGGACTCCGGGTCGTAGAGGGTGAGGAACTCTGCCGCAGAGTCCTCCACATCGACAACCAGCACCGACAAGGTAAAAGGGCTGGGCTCCGTGGATAGAGCCAGGCTGGTCTTCGGCACCCTGCGTAAGCAGATTCGGCGGCACCGAACCAGTGGGAAGGGCCAGCAGGAAACCTCCTTGCCTCTGAAGCAGAGGCGCACACAAAACATGAGCCGAGCCATCTCGCGAAACGCCTGCCAAGGGAGCCTGGGCAACGTAGGGCACCAGGGCTCCTTGGGAAGCAAACACCAGCTCGCTGGGGCAGGGAAATCACTGCCGGCTGCCCAGCAGTATAAGTGCGAGCTTCTCCTTCGGTCGGGAAGCCGTGGCACACCGTTCCGGGAACCAGCTTCCCCGTGTGAGCTTTGAACTCGGAGAAGGTGCGGAAGAAGGCAGGGACGGTGCTGGCAGGGGTCCGGAGGACCAGGTAGACACGGGATTTGACGCCCAGCTCAGGCGTGGGAGCCACACAGTCGGCTTCTCCTCGCAAGACCTTACCGGCCTCCAGTCCAGCTGTCCAGGCACGTTTCGCCCGGGACAGGCGCACTGCAGCACCAAGGAAGAGCACAAGAAGAGGCAGTCAAAGGGGACCGTGGCCGGGAGCTCTGGCGCAGGCACAGGAACCCTAAGGGGCCTAGTAGCAGGACTAGAACCGTTAGGGGGGTCAACCGGGCGTTGTGCAGGGGCGGTCTCACTGGCAGGCTCGGGCGATTTGTAAATCCAGTCGTCCTGACGGGCCCCACGAGAGGGTGGCAAGGCACGAGTGAGAACCCGAGGTGAAGGTTGTGCAAAGCACTCTGAGGGGGCTGGATCACTCATGCAGGTACCAGCGCAGCCGGAGGGAAGGCCTCGGATGAGAGCCAGCAGATGGAGGAGGCTGAGGATGAGAGGCCTCAGGAGGAGGGAAGAACCAGAAGTCCCGGAGGTAGTGAAGACAGAGGAGGGCCCCAACAGCAAGCCCAAGGAGGAAGCAGACAAAAGGAAGGACCAAGGAGCCTCCGCAATGGGAGGGACAGGCAAGACCCCACCAACCAGACTGGGAGCCCGAGGAGATCAAGGACAACACCTGCGGGACGAAGCTCATGAGCCTTGAGCGGCGCCGGTTCCATAATCGCCCTTATGCGTTCAGGGCCCCTGTTTTAGGACTTGTGGCGGCCCCCATCACCTTTGGTTAATAGGGAATGGAAGAATGGTAATGGTAGTAGTTATAATGGTACCCCATTCCTCCATTCCCTACTAACCAAAGGTAAGCCATGGGATTTCGGGGTATGCTCTAGACTCTAGCAGCTCTAGCAGGCCGAAGAGACTGAAGACAGCAAGACCTTACTGGTGCTGGAACCCTCGGGAAGCCAGGTCGCAAGGCTGCCAGCTGGTCCCGAAGGCCTGACAAGGAGCTTCCCAAAGATCCCAATGCCCCTTAATTAAGGAATGTACCTTAAATCTTGAAACTAAGGTCCTTATTATTTAAGGTATATTCCTTAATCAAGGGGTATTGGGTTCTCTGGGTTCAGGGCATCAGGCGTCAAAGTTTAGCATTTGGGCCCCTGGGGCGTCGGGGCCTAGGTCTGGAAGCTAGAGTTGGGGTTTCGTCCTCATCGAAGACTTAGCTGCTGAGTTCATAAGCCCCAAAAAGATGTATACTTTTTTTATGGTGGGTGATATTATCCCAAAAAGTGTAAAGTGTATCCACTCAGCTGCTAAGATCATCATCATCAGCATCATCCTCATCCTCGTCAGCCTCATCATCCTCATCGTCCTCGTCATCATCAGCACGATCATCATCCGCATCGTCCTTCTCCGTCATAACCCGCATAATTCCCCAAGATCCCTCACCTTAGTAGCTGCGTGGATACACTTTACACTTTTTGGGATAATATTACCCACTATAAAACTACAAGTGTACGGTTTTGGGGGGCTTATGAATTCAGCAACTAAGATCAACAGCTGCAAGGCGCAGTTCCTGGTCTTCGATGAGGATGATGACAGTGATAATGATGGTGATGGCAACGGTGATGGTGATGATGATGATGATGTGATGGTAGTGGTGATGGTGATGGCTCTGGTGATGGTAATGGTGATGGTGCGATGAGGATGAGGATGAGGACGAAGACGAGGACGAAGACCATGACATTGATACTGGTGATTGGGCTTCAGGGTTCCAGGGACCTGGGGCCTTCAGTCTTGCGTGGCTCAGCAGAGATGATACTGTACGGTTTAGGGGTTTAGGGTTTAGGGTTTAGGGTTTAGGGTTTAGGGTTTAGGGTCTCCATCATTACCTATGCTATTTTGGGGGCTCCTTCTTAGAAGTCATTCCCCAATGCCTCGGTTCGCTGAGACCGAGCCGGCAACAGGCGGCTGGAAAAAGCCGAACCTTTCTAAGGTTCAGGGCGCTAAGGTTTGGGGTTTAAGATCTTAAGGTCCGGGTTTAGGAGTTGTGTAAGGGTTTAGGGCCTGGGCTTGAGGGTTTAGGGTTCAGAGGTTTAGAGATTAGGGTCGAGGGTTGAGGGCTCAGAGTTCAGGATTTTGGATTCTTAGGGCTTCGGGTTTGGAGTTTGGGCGGCTTCGGGGAGGATTTGACTTGCAACCCAAGCTTTCCGGCAAGTTGTGGTGATACAGACGGCTGAGTAAAAGGGTTTCATAAGGATACCGTTTGGATGCGAGGCTGTTGGTTTCTTCCTGAGAATCCTGTTGTTGACTTACGTGGATCCCCAAGAGGGCTAGAATGACATGTACAGGGTGCGTCGTCGTACTGGTACTACAGCTATGAAAGGGAAACCCTGAAACAGCAAAGCTTTCCTATGCAGATCGGAGTCGACCCCGGTGTTCAGGTAGTTGCTAGTGGGGTTATAGGTCCGCTAACTATAGTTGCCCTATAACTTATTGGATCTGCTAGGCTTTCTCTCATGTATCCAGCCTTATACGGCATCGACGACTGTTGCCTCTACTTGGAGGGTCGGGGGACTTAGTAACTGGTTATTTTAGGGACTTATATGCATCATAACCCCAATTAGGGTCCCTTTTAGGGTACTTATAAGTCTTATAAGTCTACTTACTAACTACTTACTAAGTCCCCCGACCCCCCAAGTAGGGGCTGGCAGTTTTGGTGTACGATCGCGAGCCTCTGCTCGGAAGCCTGCAGGACTTAATACAGCTCAGGAGTCTATGTACCATATATTTCACATAGTTTTTTCTTGTACAACATAAAGAAGAATCAAAGTAGCTAAGTTGCTGAGTTCATAAGCCCCAAAAGGTGTGCACTTTTGGTTTTTAGTGGATAATATTATCCCAAAAAAGTGTTGAGTGTATCCACTCAGCTACTAAGGTAGTATTCATTCTACCAAGGTGCAGGTGCAGCCGGTATTGGATCGACACGAGCACGCAGTCGGCTCGGCGAACGAGGTGGTTCCTGAATGCTCACGTGCTCTTGGGGATCTTGCGGTTTAAGCTCCGGCGTGCTTCAAATCTCACGAGGTTAAGGGTCTAGGGTTCAGGGTTTAGGGTTTAGGGTATAGGGTTCGGGGTTCAGGATTTAGGATTCAGGGTATAGGGTTTAGGGCTTAGGGCTTAGGGTTGAGATGGTGAGCAGCTGGTGCTCATGGCGCCCAGTCCGCCTGTCCATACAGTGGCGACATGCCAACTTCGAAGGTGAGCATAGCTCACATATCCGGAAGAAGGCAACCAGACTAGAAGTAACGTACCTCTTTTATAGCTCATACATGCACATATCTACACCAATTACAACACGATCCCTTTGTCACAGCCCCCAGCATATAACAATACTACAGTATGAGAATGTACCTAGCCCAAAGCCCTTCTCTGGGAATCATTGTCAACCCAGACCCCCGGCAGGATCCAAGAAGTAGATCCCTTAACGAGGGTTCCTATAAAGTACCCTTAGTAGTATCGGGCCCCAAATTAGGGGATCTACTTTTTAGATCCTCCCGGAAATCTGGCAAGAGGATGCCGAGACTCAACTTCTGCGCGTCGCCGGCAATGCCTTTGCCCATCAGGAACCCACCATGGATCTGAACCACAACGGGCCGCTTGCCTGGTACGGTTTACGGTTTAGGGTTTAGGGATCTGAACCACAACGGGCCGCTTGCCTGGTAACAAAAACCACAACGCAAAAATCAACCCTGAACACTGCTGAAGCACGACCTGACCCACAAGCCCTGGGTTCCGACAGCCAGATCCCAGAAATCCACGAACTCCTTGACGCCATATCTTCAGTCACTGTGCCCGTCTGTTTTGGCTCACTCTCCTTTAAGAGAAACAACTAGCTGTAGAACCCTTATGTATGCTATGGTGAAGACCCCACGCAGGAAAGTTGAAACTAAAATTCGAGTCCCAAACCCCGAACCTCCGAAAACCCTAAACCGCTCCCATGTCTTTAAGCTCGGCGATGCGATAGCTAACTTCTAGGTTCATTATTAAGGGTTCGTTTTAACAAGAGTTCTGTGGGTTGTTGTCAGCGGCGGACCTGCTTCAATCGGAGCTGGGGGAATGTAGACTGCCAGCGTCAAGCAGTCCTGAAGCAGGTCATGAAAAGGCTTCCTGCGTCCTCACTCATTCCTCCGTTCCCCTAAACCCTAAACCCTAAACTCCAAACCCTCAAACCCTGAAGCCCTAGACCCTTGACCTTCGGGACGAAGCTCTGCTCAGGCCCGGGGAACTGGCAACCTGAAGCCATGAATCTGAAAGCTTGAGCCCGGACAACAGTTATACGAGGTGTCATATTAAGGGCTATGCATATTTGTAGAAAAAATATAAGTCCGAAATCTGCAGCCGTCGTTTAAGTCCGGAACTCCGAAAGACAGGGAGCCCGAAAGCTTGAGCCGACGTTGAAGTCTGCAGGTCTTGGCGAGGGGCCTCCACACCCTGGATGTCATCACCGATTCTTTGCAGGCAGGGCAAGTTCACCTCTCAGTCCAAAAAAGTTTAGGGTTTACGGGTTTAGGTGTTTAGGGGTTCAGGGTTTAGGGCTTGAGGTTTAGGATTTACTGGTTTAGGGGTTTAGGGAATCAAGGTTTAGGGTTTCGGGCTTAGGGAGAAGAGCCGCAGCATTGCAGATTTGGGGTGTATATTAAGTTGAAACCTCTAATACCGGGGCCGTTAATGCTTGGAACAAGAGGTACACTGTAGCATATTTGCCGCAAAAGAACCCGAAGGAGTGGTATTTAAGTATTTGTTCAGGCCCCACCTTGCATCATGGGAATCTAAATCTTAGGTCCTAGATGTCCGCGAGTGTGGTTTTAGGTTGCATGTCTGGGTTGGTGTGGGTTTCGAGTTCAGAGATTTATTTCTTGAAAGCCCACACTACCACAGTCATGGCATACTTGGCTTTGGGGTTTGGGCTTAAGGATGTAAGTATGAAAACCGTCAGAAAAGATACCTCAGAGTGCGGATCTTGCCATACAAACCCTTAGGCCCTAAATCCCCAAGTGCTACAATCCTGAACCGCAAAACAACCCACCTTAAACTCCACTGACCCCAAAAGCCCGAACCCTGAAAACCTTCAAAACACCATCGGTTGCGAATTTTAGTGTATTTTAAGGATTAGGGTTTAGGGTTTAGGGGTTTAGGGTTGCGAGTTTTAGAGTATGTTAAGGATTAGGGAGGGTTAGAGAGGGTTTGGGAAGGTGGTTTCGAGACCGTCTCGTGCAAGCTCCGGCTTTGGGCATTAGGTTTAGGCTTCAGGGTTTCGGATTTGGGTTTTGGGCTTCTGCGATGGGTTTGGGTTTGGGCTGAAGCACATGCAGTTGAATGCGGCAGCACCTCGGTGCCATTGAGGACGGCATTGGCTGGCGCCTCATACCTAGCTCCGAAAAGCCCAAATACAGGGGCCAAAACCATAAACCCAACACCGCTAAATCCCTAAATACCACGGCCGTAAATGCAACACCCGAATCGGAACCCCAAGCCTGTGCCAAGCAGATGGGTCTTGAGCTGTCGATTGCAGTCCCGAGTTTAGGGTTCAATGCCCCCGAAAACCCTCAACCCAAAGGACCCAGACCCCGAAACCTATCAGTTTCGGACAGTTTCGAAACATGAAAGACCCCATCATAAACGGAAAGTAAGAAAATCTCCCTAAACCCTAAAGCCACAACGAGGGCCTAGGGTGGATTTGTCGGAAATTCGCATTATCTTCCGCTTCGGGCTTCGGGTGAAGGCCGTGGGGTTGGGGCTCAAAGGCTCATTCAGGGCTTTAGGGTGCAAGGGTTTAGGGTTCAGGGGTTTAGGGTTCAGGGGTTTAGGGTTTAGGGGTTTAGGGTTTAGGGCTGAGGGTGCAAGGGTTTGGGGTTTAGGGTGCAAGTGTGTGTTATACGATGTTTCAGGGAGACCGCACATCCAAGATTCTGAGATGGGCAACCATTTGTTGGAACCCCCAAACTTTTCTGGGTAGTATTATTTGAGAGACCCTTAAAGGGTACCCCTTCTGAACATTAAGGGTCCCTCCGGTTCCGCTCAAGGATCAAATGATTCAAGAAACTCCACCGGAGTTCTGGTGTGGCAGTCTTAAGGCTTCCAGAAACCCCGGGAGGGTCTAAAAAGTAGATCCCCTAATGCGGGACCCTAGCTACTAAAGGGCGCTTTGTAGGAACCCCCTTTTAAGAGATCTACTACTTTTTGGATCCTCCCGGGGCTCGGGGCTTAGGACTTTAGGGTTCTATGGCTAAGTACTGATATAAATCCTGCATTACCCATGATAAGGAATATACCACCATTCCCTTAGTTTAGGATCCTTAAGGTAATGCAGGATTTACATCATCAACCGTAGTGAGTCGGGCTGGTCGGGTAGTGAAATGCTTCTGAGCATACACAGACTGCAAGAGATGATGCAAGATGCCATGCAGGTAGTTGTCAAAGTTGAGGTCCCTTATCGGGTACCCTACATATTAGGTGCCGTATTATAATAAAGACCCAAAAGGGGACCCTGATTTTGACAACCACCCATTCGGGGCAACTAGACATCCAAACCGCTGCAAGTCCACGCTTTCGGACTGTTGAGGATGTCCCGTTTGCATCTAGGACTAGGATGCTACAAACATGGTTGATTCCATCAAAGGTGTACTGGCAATGGCCACTTTAAAAAACATCGCGTACCGAAGCCCAAACCCCGGCGCTGCTTCCCACTGCCGGGGCACACCGTCGGAGCATCGAAACGGGCGGCCTGGCAGCTTTCAGGAGAACGTTTAGGCTGGGTAGTTGATTCAGGGGTCCATAGATTACTTCAATGCTGGAGCTGGCGCTGGTTCTGGTGCTGTGGTGGTCTTGGTTGTTGTATGGATTGGTATATGGTATAGTCCGCATGTCTGCCTGGCATCGCTAGTGCATTATGGAGTGTGCAACCGCTTTTTGGAATAGACTGATGGTGAGTATGGATCCAATACTCATCACGAAGGGAAACCAGTACAACTCTTTCTGGGGCTTCATCCGAGCCGTAACGGCTTCGGGCGCTCGTTGCGGCACCTTAGACTATCAGGACGGGGCTGAAAATATGGGTTTAAGCTTGAGGGTTTGGGTTTTGAAGTTCAAAAGTTTTGGGTGTGTATTTGTGCAGAGTACGAAGCTTCCCAGCGGAAAACCTGCTGCCATTGATAAGCCCCTTCTGTAGATGAAGGCCTCGGCATAGCGCAGGTTGAAGTAGGCATAAACCTCGTCCTGCGCACGTCAGAGGCTGCCCAGATTTTGTTGAAATAGCCGTCTGGCTCTCCCCCAACGAACAGATGTTTCGAACTTCTCGAAGCACCCTGATCCCGAAACATGATGACTCAGGCTCGGAAGCGCTAAACTAGGTCTTCCAGACACTCTTTTTGCGAGGATAGCTTTTAGATTGGCGTGGACAGTAGGTAGGCGTGCAGTCGGGAAATTGGGCTCAGAGTTCAGAGCTTGCGGCTGCAGTTCAAGGCACAAAATGGGGCGGAAACTGTAGTAGCTTGGCCCAATACACATACATATACACACACATACACATAAAACACATACATATACAAATACAGATACATATACATACATTCACACATGTACAAAATCATTCACATATACATATACTACAGGACAACCAGACAGCATGTGTATGTGTATATATGTACATATACATATACATATACATGTACATATACATATACACATACATAAACATCTATATGAGCGTGTATGTGTGCGTGCATGCGTCTATGTATATGTATATGTATATGTATATGCATATGCATATGCATATGCATATGCATGTGTGTACATGTGTATGTATGTTTGTGGGCCTCGATCGGATGGCCAATTGCAGTCAAGCGCTTGCCGAGGACGCGCGCACCTGACCCGGCAGGCGCAGGGGCTTCGAAGTTTGAGGCACCCAGAATCACAGAGATCCCAATACCCCTTAATTAAGGAGTATACCTGGAATCATAATGTTCAGGCCTCTATAACTTAAGGTATATTCCTTGTTTAAGGGGTATTGGGGCACCCAGAATTGAGTTTCGGAGCCTAGAGCTCAGAGCGAGCTCCGTGGCTTCGGTCTTTCCTTCGGTTTGGATGTTTTTAAGTTGATGTGCACCCTTTCTCCAAAGTAGCGCTGCGTTTTGCGGTTTGGAGTTTAGGGTTTAGGGCTTCAGGTCTCCATGGGTATAGTTCTCTAGAGTCCGGAGCTCCAGGCTCTTACAGGAATCCTGCAAAGCGACGTCTGATGCATCCGGCGAAGCCTATACTCAAGTCCTTCATCCCCTTCAACTTACCTTTGGTTAGTAGGGAATGGTAGTAATAGTAGTAATAGTAGTTATAATTGTACCCCATTCCTCCATTCCCTACAAACCCAAGGTAAGACACCTCGTAGAAAACATCCCGATGAAACCTTGTCATCCCGATATCCTCTACCCGAAAGCGCTAGCCACGAACCCGACTCCCCGGTCGACTCCTATACGATAGTATCTTATTGTCACACCCTAGAGCAGACGATGGTATACGAAAGTCGAGTGTAGTAGTGTATAGCATACTATAATATTTCCTTGTGAAGCATATACTGAAACTCGAAGCGAAGCGCCTGAAGGCAGGACGACCTCCGGCACGGTGTCCGCGGAACGCGAGGAGCCGTGCGAAGCACGGCGCAGCCCTCAAGGGGAAGACAGAGCTGTATGGGGTTTGGGGTTTAGGGTTTAGAGTTTGGGGTTTCGGGTTTAGGCTCTTTAGGGTTCAGCAGACATACAGCCCAAAACCTTAGGATGCCTTGGAGTCAAGCTGAAAGACCCTAGGCCCCACGCTGTAAACGCTGAAAGCCCTGCAACCCCAGGTGTCCTGTCGCGATGCCAGCGATCGAAAAGGCGCCAAGAGGCAGTAGCAGAAGCAAAAGTGCATGGCATTGAATCATGCTGGCGGCAGGAGGGGTTTCGGGCCTGGGGTCTAGACGTCTGAAATGGGTCTGCCTACCTTGTCGAACCCTCGTGCAGCACCAGCTGAGCAAAAGAAACAAGAGGCATGCATTTCCAAACCACTGCATTAGTCTTCCTATCGGCCTGCCACTACGAACACCAGTGTGACCATCCTCCGCACGCTCAGTGCTACGATAGCTCCATTGCTGCCGCCCTGAGTTGCCGTGGCTGTACTTAACATACCTTCCTTGTTCCGGCGCAGTTCTGCTTAGAAATTGCCGGCCGGTGACTCCTGGAAGGGTTCCCAAGAGGAAGCGATCGGTTCAGTATCAGATCTGAGCTCAGGCTGGGCTCGCCCAAGCTCCTTGAACCAAGGTTGGAAGCATGAGGCGTAACTTCACACACGTAATACTGCGAGGCTTCGGGGCTTTCAGGCCGAGGAAGGACTTTAGGCTCGAGGTGCATGGGTCTTAGTAGGGATTTAGGGTCAAGGGATGTGTCGGTAAGAAGGCCTCGGGTCAAGCATTTGGGCTTGTATTTTGGGGGTTGCTCTGCTCATTTACTTACCGAACTGATAATGCCGAAGTATAGTTGCAGATTCACGGCCAGCTTCCCGTAACTGGCTGCAAGGGCTGAAAGTCTCTACAGCCAGACTGAACATAACCGGTAGGAAGCACTCTAATTTCCTTATAGAGCCGTGACATAGCCCTATTAAGGCCCTTACGAAGGTCGCTGTAAAGCTTCTCTCAAAAACCTTATTGAGCCTGAAACCCCATAAAGCCTGCTGGCAGAAGTGTGGCGCAAGAGGCTCAAAGGAAACATACCCAGAGACTCCAATATCCCTTAATTAAGCAATATACCTTAAATCATATTAGAGATCCTACTATAATTTAAGGCATATTCCTTAATGGAGGGATATTGGAGTCTCTGGGTACTCCACAGTCCGGGTGTGTTAGGTTCAGGATTCAGCGGATTAGCAGAGAGGGCTTGGACTCTTCCCGTCGGTAGGGATTGGGGTCTAGGGTTTAGCATTGAAGGTTGGATTCGATCGTTCACAAAGCCCTGAACCCGGCATAATAAAATCCCATTCCACTTTTCTGTACACGGAGCTACACATCTGTGATCTGCCAAGCAAGCTTAGCGCCCTAAACCCTACACCCTACAGCCTACACGCAGACAGCAATACCAAACGCAGCCCAGAAATCCCAATACCCCTTAAAGGAATATGCCTTAAATCATCATATTAAGGAATCTAATGCAAGGTCTATTCCTTCATTAAGGGGTATTGGGATCTCTGGGAGGGTCGCCAGGCTCCCAGCACCGCGAAGCAGTGCTGCGCCGCCAGGAAACTGAGAGGAGGAGCTTTCAGGGATCCTACGGTTGAGGATATAAATCCTGGGGCTCCTTTAAAGGGATCTATAAGGATACCTTTAAGGGATCTATAGGAGTTCAGGGTTTAGGGTTTAGGGTTGATGATATATCAATCCTGCATTACCTGAAGGACCCTGAACTATAGGAATTATGGTATCTTCCGCATTATGGGTACGTAGTGCAGGATTTAGATCATCAACCGTAAGGCTAAGGCTAGCTGCTAGCTAACGCCTACTTGGAGGGTCGAGGGACTTGGTAACTGGATATTTTTGGGACTTATAAGTACCTTAACCCCAATTAAGGTCCCTTTTAGGGTACTTATAAGTCTACTTACTAACTACTTACTAAGTCCCGCGACCCCCCAAGTAGCGGCTGAGCGTCATGGCTGCAGGGTCAGGGCTCGAGGTTCAGGACACCGAAAGCCCACGTTTTCAGGTGAATTAAAGGATCTAAACCCTGCACTACCCATAAATTAGAAATATACCATAAAGCCCTATAGATCCCTTAAAGGTACCCTTATAGATCCCTAGGCTTGGAAGCTTGGAACTGATGCTTGGCGAAGAAGAAAGGAGGCAGATGCCCTCTGACCTTGAACCAGAAACCCAAAACCTCGAAGGATGGCCGTAAAGCTTAGACCCTAAAACTTGAGCTCAAAACTTCCAAAACATCTGAGATCCTCAGGCTTGTTGAGTTTAAGACAAAGAGACCTCAACTTAATCTCGCCGAGCCCTAAATCGAAACCCAAGTAGTCTACTGTAACTCCTGAGCCAAAAGCTCTTGCTTCCTTGCTTCCTTTCAAGCCCGTTCGCGCCTGCCTTGTTCAGCACATGCTGTTGAGTTCCCGCCTGGCTTCAATGCGGCTTGGTTTACGGCTTGGTGCTTCGCCGGTTGCGGGTATAGGGCAGGCTTTGGGCAGCAGGTGCGGGCATCAACTGCCGAAACAAGCAAACTGGTTTTGGGGATGAAGGATGAAGGGGTTTTAGGGATGAAGCAGTAGCAATGGCGTGGCAGTGGCCGGGGGTGCTGGTGGTGCTGCTGATGATGCTGCTGATGGTGCTCCTGGTCTCTGGATGCTGCGGATGCTGCTGATGCAGCTCATGCTGCTCATGCTGCCGCTGCTGGTGCTGGTGCTGGCACTGGCGCAGGTGCTCGCGCTGGTGCTGGCGCCAGTGCGGGTGCCGTTGCCGGTGCCGGCGGTGTCGACAGCTGCTCTTGTCCATCATCATCAGCATCGTTATCATTTTTGATCGGCACGATCATGTCACTATTACCTTCCTCTTACCCAGGGTCACCACCGCCACCACCCCCACAATCACAACCCTCACCGGAATCACCACCATCAACATCATCACAACGCTCATTGCTGTCTTATCTCCATGCTTACCGACAGCAGCATCACCATTCAACTTGCTCGAAAGATGCGGCCATGTTGAGCGTTAGTTCATTGCTCCGTTTTCTCTGGGCCTTACGATTTGCCTGTGCTCTACTGCCTACTCCTCCCTCTGCCGCCACCTTGAAGAAACCGCATTGACATAGATAGGTAGGCGCAGGGCTTTCTCTTGCTGATTTATGTAGCTTCTCTGATCGGCGATCGCTCCCTCGAACTCAAACGACGTCGAAAACGTTGCGCTCTGATGGCCGACACGGTCAGGACCGTAGTCGCCAGCAAGACCTACCTCAGCATACCATCAGCAGCGGCGGCAGCAGCAGCAACAAACCGGCTTCAACATTATCGTTTAGAAGGGACCCCCACCCTGTAATAGTGACTATGAGGATTAAATTAGGGCCCTATTATATTCCTCTTATACCACTATTACAGGGTGGGGGCCCCTTCAAAACTATCGTTCGCAACGACAGCCCCTCGAAACTCTCAGCGCATGGACTCGAGACCCTGGAGCCTCGTCAACATCCCACCAAAACCATAGGGATCCTTAGGTGTAGGGGGAGGGGGGGTAGGGGGCCTTAAGGCCCATAATAAGGACTAATAAGGCCTATTTAAGGAAATATAGTCCCCTACACCCCTCCCCCCTACACCCCTAAGGATCCCTATGACAAAACCAGCCACCCTAACCCAAAACCCTCACAGAACCCTCGTAGGAGCCTGATAACAATACCACTTACTTATACTTATAGCCCCCCAAAAACTCAGAGATCCGACTCCCGAAGCCCCAAACCCCCCACCAAAACCTCTCCCTAAACCCCCCTTACTTAAGGAATATACCTTAAATCATAATATTAAGGTCCCTGTAATTTAAGGCGTGTTCCTGAATTAAGAGGTATTGGTATTCTTCCTAAACCCCAAACCCTAAACCCTAAACCCCAAACCCTAAACCCTAAACCCCAAACCCGTAACCCCAAACCCTAAACCCTAAACCCTATCCCTTACAGTAACCCTTAAAGATCCCTATATATAGACCCCACAACAGGAATCCTACCCACCTCAAGAAGCCGCTGCAGCAGCTCCGACTCGGCGGCGGAATGCGCCTCCACGGAAACCTCCCGAAGTGGAGGAGTTCAGCCGCTCCGCGATCTAGAGCTTAACGGTCTGGGGGATTGGGTTTATGGGTTTAGGGTTTAGGGTATGGGGTTCGGGTTTTAGGGCCTTAGCTTCAAGGTTTAGGCATGAACGAGCTTTAAGAAGATGTTGAGGCTTTGTTGTGTCCGTTTTGAGGGGTTGTCAGAGGCGGTGGCACGGGTCTCTAAGGGGTTGCTGGGTTGTAGGGTTTAGGGGAGCCCAGTGATCCCAATACCCTTTTAATGAAGGAATATACCTTAAGTAAAAGGGGGCTTAATATTATGATTTAAGGTATATTCCTTAATTAAGGGGTACTCGGATCTCTGGGTACGGGGGTGCTGTAGGTTCAGCGCCAGGGCCACTGCCACGAAAAACACGTGTCACAATGTTTATCACGATGATGGTTCCGCCAGGGACCATCCAGCCAGTACTCTCATGTCCGCGGCGCTCACAGATGAAACATGTAACAGCTCTCTACTCCATTGAGACCTCATCCACGACCAAGGTGAGCTTCATCAGCTGGGGGTTGGCGTGTTTCCAGTGGTCCCATCGCGTCCCTCTCCCAGCGAACACGACGCTTGCGCCTGTCTCGTGGTCAAGTTTGTGCTAGCTTGAAAAGCCCCAGCGATGCTACTATCTTACCTAACCCAACACCCTAAACCCTAAGCCCTAAACGTTAAAAATCCTGAACAACCACATATACGGAGCCCATAACATGCACCTTGCACCTCAAATCGGGCACTGGAAGGCTCAAAACCTGGGACCGACTCATCTGCAAAGCTTCAACATATGTTGAGCATGCCTGGTGATGCCGGTCTTGAGCCGGGGCTGACAAGCGGCTTAGCAAGTGCTCCCTTTGTGCATGCACAGCTTGATACCGAAGACATCCTTGCATAGATGCTTGCAAGCACATTTGGCACTGGTGGAAACGTACATGCATACATGCCTACTCGAAAACACACCTTCCTGCAGCATGCGCAAGATCATCTGAGCACTCGCCTACGACAAGAAGATGCATGCACCCTCAACCAACAGCAGTCACATTCGACATCCAGACAGGCAGACCAACAGCAGAGAAAGAGAGAGATGGCTACTGGTCA